TAGAGAGGATTTTAATACTCTTTTATGATTTTAAATTGTAGGAGACTTTGAAGTGAGCGATTTGTATTAGTCGTGACGATTTTAAGATCGTATACAAGGTACGTTCGCTTACTTAGCATAATTTTATTGATGTAGTAGCATACTAAATGTGTTTAATTGATTACAAGTAGTATCATGCTAGATTTGGAATGGAAATTATAATTTGGATGATATTGGTGATTGAATTATGAAGCATGATTTATTTGTAGTAGAGTAATGGATGGAAAATTATAGTTTAAAATATTGTTTATGAACCACACTTTTATTTATGGCATGATAGAGAGCATGTTTAATTAAACTAATTAAATGTTTAATTTGGTTTGTAATATTAAAAGGGAATTTTATTATGGTTCATATAATTTTTATTGATGCTTTAAACTTGGGAAATGAGCTATGTAAGTGTCTATGTACACGAGGAATAAAGTACAAGTTGGTGCCTTAGTGCACTTAAGGTGTTTTTAACACAGAGGGATAGGATTTGTGGCGCTTAATGCGTTTAAGGTGTTATTGACACCGAGATAGATTAAAAAAGGGTTCAACATTAAATATTATGTGGTCACTAATTATTCAAGAATTAAATTAAAGTGCTTAATTTTTTGACTAATCATGATGTTTGATGTTGTTATGTTTTGAGAGTCATCACCAAGTTAATAAATTTTAAAGAACGTAAAGTGAAAGAGATTACGCACCAAAACTCTTGGAACGTATATACTTTGAGTATGAACATATAGGGGGAGTTATATGGTTTTATATTTAACCATAACTTATACTGGAGTACAGGACCTTGTACATTCCTTTTATTATTAGTATGCGCAGGAATTCCACCACTTATAAGTGGTTATTGATGCTGGCACGGTTAGCTCCCGTGTTAGTAACCTCAATTTATTGGGGGAGGTTAGTGAGGAAACACGTTCGATGCATATTCAACATTAAACAAATTATTAGTGGTCTAGTGAGAAGTTTTATTAAATGTTGTATGCTTGAAAAATAGGTGCAATAAGGTAAGTTGTGTGTTAATAGGAAATTATATGTTAGTGTGTTAATTACGCTTATGTACTCAGCTTTGCTGATTGTGTGTTTTGTGTGTTTGTTGGCCTTGTCTTTATCTTGGCCCTATGATGACCCATTTTTAATGGAGAGTAGTGCAAACAAGTAGAGAGAAGTTTTTCAGGTGATGAAGCATATTCATGAATGGACATGAGTGAAGAGCGAGCATGCTATTTTTTATAAGTATATGATGTGGTTATCACTTTAATCATTTATGATATCATTATTATGCATGACTAACGCAAAAGGTTTTGAATTTGATTTGGTTTTAATAAGGGCCTATAATGGTTCCAACTTGTTGGTTGATTTTATTTTACTTCGTTTAATTTTACTTCCGTTGATTGACTTTTCAAGCTAACTTTTGTTTTGAATGGTTTTGAAATAAGTCTTCCGCTGTGTGTCTTTGATAGTTGCCTTAATCGTTTTCACGGTGGCGGTAATGTCTTAGATATTCTTATTTAAAGTTTTAAATAGGGCAAAACAGGTATTTTAAAAGAAAGGAATTTCTAGGGTGTTACACCAACCCCACCGAATTCAACCCATTCCCCGTTCCCTCCACCGGAATCGACATCCCTCCCCTTCTCCTACCCTTTTCGGCCATCCCTAACCCTAAACCACCACCCTAAAACCAGCATAAGCGAAACCCTAAAACTCGTTTAGGGTGGTTTCGGGCCGGTGGTTTAGGGTTAGGGGTATCGGTTTTTGGATGGGGGAAGGTGAAAGGGGTCGTTTCTGGTGGGGGTAACGGGGAGGGGGGTTGAATTTGGTGGGGGGTTGGCTTCGTGGGTGGGGGAAAGGGGGTTGGCTTCATGGGTGGGGATAAGGGAGGGGGTGGGGTCGCCGGCACCGGCCACCGACAGGGTTGAGGGGAAGAGGTGGCAGTTGAGGGGAGGGGACGACTGTTTTTTTTTTTTAAAATATAAACTTAACGAATTCCGTTAAGTGGTAGTAATTTCTAACAAACTCTGATTTAAATGGTAGCAATTTTTTTTTTAAAATGGTAGGAAATGTGAATCGAGGTGTTTTTCATGATAGAAAATGTCAAAATTTCCTAAAAAAAACAAAGGAAAAAAGTTTTGGACAGAAAAAACGACATCAAAAACTGACATGTGTCATTATTGGTGTCTGTTTTAGTATTATGTTACTCCCTCCGTGTTTTAATAAGTGTTACAATTTGACCGACACATACTTTTAGGCAATTTAATTCACTTAAATAAAATAAGAAGTAAATGGGGTAGTTGGAGTATTAAAAAATTGTAAAAGAAAGATAGTGGGGTTAATAGTTAATTGAAAAGTAATGAATGTGAGAGGAAGTATATAATAAAAAAAAAGTAGTAGTGGGTTTGGGTGGGGACCATGAGAGAAGAGAGATATACTTCGGACCATGAGAAAAGAGAGATATACTTCCTCCGTTTTCTTTTCAATGCAACACACACTTTTTCATAGTATTTTAGGAATGTAGGGTTCACATGATATAATACACTTTAAAATGGGATGAGTGGTTGTTAGGAGTGTAATTTAGTAGGTCATGTGCTTTAAATAAAGGAAATAATATAGTTTTTCCCTATAGTAACTTTCCTTTTATAGTGTGTTGTAAGTATTGTGACATTTCCTTTTTAGGGAAGTGTTGCAAGTAAAAGAAAACGGAGGAAGTAGTATTTAAAGGTAGTTTTTTTTTGCAAAAAAGGAAGTGTATCACTTATTTAAAAACACGGTCGGATTTGGTAAATGTAACACTTATTAAAGCATGGAGGGAGTATTATTTAAGCACGGAGGGAGTATTATTGATTTTCGGTTCAATTTCGGATCGGTTAATTTGGGGTCGAGTCAATTCGGAGCAAATTATTCGGGTCGGGTCAAGTTTGTGTCGTGTCAACAAAATAAATTCACTAATAGTTGGAAAAATTAAGTAAAATCGTTCAATAAAAAAAAAATTGTGAGTACCTATTACATATGAAAGAAAGAAGCACTAAACTAAGTAATTCACCATTTCACCCTATTTACTCCAGGAATCGTGTCCCTTAGGATTGAGTTACTTTGGGTCAATCAATTCAGTAGGGGTGAAAGTTCGGTTTACAATTTGAATTATAGCCAAAACCGAATCCAATCTGAATTAATTCGATTTCAAAAATCTCAATCCGAATCCAAACCGAATTAAGATTCAATTCAATCCAATCCAATCCAAACCGAATTAATACGGTTTTTCAAATTAGAATCCAATCCAAACCGAAATTTGTTCCCTTCTTTTGCAACATTCAAATTCGAAACTCGAACTTCACCCTGAAAATTCCTACAATCATTTCTTGTTAATTACATTCTTTGTGAGAGAGTAAGATATTGAGAAAGGAGAATTGAGAATTAGGTTCTTTTTTTAAGTTTATATATGAAAGGGGAAAGTGGTTAGATACTTTGAAAAATAAAATGGGCTTAAAGTATTGGGTCGAAATTCGATTTGAAATTCGTTTTTTCGGTTTTTTTTAAACCCCAAACCGAATCCAATCCGTAATCCATATTTTTTAATTTTTCCAATCCGATCCAATCCGAATTCTTAAAAAATCCAAACTGAATTACTAATTCGGTTTGGTTTTCGATTCGGTTCGGTTTTAATCCGAATTACTTTCATCCCTACAATTTGGGGTAAAATCGAGTCGAGTCACTTCGGGTTTTGGGTCACTTCTGGTTGGGTCAAGTTCGGGCATTGAGTCACGTTCGGGTCAACTCCATTTCGGATTGCGTCGGGATAGTTTGGGTTCGGGTTAACTTTCGGGTCGTAGGGGGTCAAGATTGCAAGGTGTAAGAATAATGCATGAACGGTTCCGCTTGACTTTTGTCGTCAATATTCCTTGTACGCTTTTAATTAGGGCTGGCAATCGGATCAGGTCGGGTCGGGTTCGTGTTCGGGTCACCTGTTTTCGGGTCAGAAACCTCCCAACCCTAACCTGATCCATTTAACTTTTCGGGTTGAAAATCCCAACCTGAACCTGATATTTTCGGGTTCGGGTCAACCCGAAAATAACCTTATGACCTGATTTTTTTTTTTGTCTAAATCTGTTTTCTTTAACCTGAATATAACTTGAACAACCTGTTTTTTTGAAATTTCAAAGCTATAATCCACAATCTAAGTACCAAATAAATATGGCATACGCATGAAATCGCTCATACGCCCAGAAAATATGAGTCAAACAAACGAAAAATAGAAAAAAATAAAATTAAATAGAACAATAATTTATACTTGTATACTAGTTTGAACAATTTATTTGCATGAAAATAAAAACAATCGAATTAAAAACCAACAATAATTATAACTAAGTTGAAATTACAAGCAAGTAAATTTACAAAATCAATAGCTTAAAAAAACTTAGAAGAAGACAGGGAGAAAGAATAGATTATTTGTAGTCACTTTAGTTCGAGCTATTTATTTGGGATTGTCAAACTCGAAGCTATGGAGCTGATCCATTCGAGGATTTAAGGAGATCTGCTAGTGACTCTTGACTCTTGCCTCTAGAGGTGTACGCAGCAAAGAGATTTATGAAGGAGAGAGAGAGAGAGAAACTGAGAGTGAGAGTTAAGCGGCTATCTTTGAGAATTTAAGGAAATGAGATAGAAAGTGTTATATATAGTTAGGGTTAATATTGGGCTAACTTAGTTGGGCTTGTAGCTTATAAACTAGTTTCACGCAAAAATGTTACTGTCACCAAATAGTTTGATCCAATAATTTTTTTTTTCGGGTTACACGGGTCATTTTCGGGTTGAAATTCTCAACCCGAACCTAACCCATTTAATTTTAGGTCGGGTTCGTGTCAACCCATTTAATTATTCGGGTTGAAAAACTCAACCCTAACCCGCTATTTTCAGGTCGGGTTCGGGTCGGGTTATCAGGTCGGGTCAGTTTTTGCCAGCCCTACTTTTAATTCCTGTTTCCTCCGTGGAACTATTTTACTTCGACGCTGCACTCCCCTCTCTCTCCAATCTCCATTGATTCGTCACTGAAATTTTCCATTTCATTTCATTGAAGCAGCTCCTGAGCTTCCCTCTCCAATTGAAACAGCTTCTTATTGGTAAGATTGTTTTCTTAATCATCTGATATCAATTTCAGAATCTAGGGTTTAATTCCACACTATCATTATCATTGATTAAATTAGCAGTGTATATTCATTTTAGTGTTCTTCTAAGTTGGATTGTTGAACTGTTTGTCATAAACACTGAAGTTATTATCATAAATTAAACCACCTTATTCGTTGCTAGAATTTTGTTATGTGCTCTTATTATCAAGCAAGAATAAATTTTTATGAATTTGCGAACTTTATTTGATAATCAATTCTAAATTTGGCTGCTAAGTGTTTTTTTTAAGGAAAATTTGTTGTAATTTATTTGAAACGGATGAAGTATAAAGTTTTACAAAGTATTCTATAACAATAGTTATATGTTTCAAATGTGCTACCTCCATTACATATTATTTGCAACGATTTGACATAAAGTAGAGAGGAAAAATGTCGAGTTAAGTATAACATTGGGGTCCAAGTTTTTTATTTTTTCACCTTTTGGGACCTCAATTTTTTTTTTTTTTCACCTTTTGGACCTATAGTCCAATTTCCGGCCAAAAGTAACTAAATGTGAGTAAAAAAACATTGTCCCTTAGTTAAAAACTTAGTCCCTTCATTTATTACTCTCTCTCACATGTGGTTAATTACAAGGCTAAAGTTTGCTATTAATTTTTATATTTTCTCTCCTTTTAACTTCAACACTAATTATTAAAAGATTTTTCTTCTCTTCTAAAAGTTAATGTTGTTCAGGATGGTAGTGCACGATCAATAACATATTAACAATTAGAGAGGTTAGTAGCTTAGTATGGATCGATGGTGTACAACACAACTGTCATTAACTCATTATATACAATAATTAGAAAACATTATGAATGATAAACAATTGCAAGCACGCTAACTAAACACACAATAATAAACCAAAATAAGCTTGTAAATATATTGTTTAAACAATGAATTTCCCGTCAAAAAAAATAAAGTATAGTTCATACGTAAAAATAAATAAATAAAAACTTATCTCAACTTATGCTTCATATTAAAATATGACAATTTATATATTTTTAGGAAGTAACCCTTTTTAACTTGGTAATAATAGAAAAAGAAAACTTCAACTTATACATACGTAGTATATAGTTTATAGTCAGGTTATCATTTTTTAAATAGGTAATTAATTAGTCACATATCATGACTATCGGTCGCCATCTATAGAGCCGCTGATTATTGATAATAGGTTATGCTATGCTTTTTCGTATTTGATATGTATATATTAGATATCAAGTTAAGCGAGGTCTCAATTATATTAATGTTGAAGTCACACATAAAAAGTAAGTAATTAGTAGGTAAAAGTATACGAAATCTACACACATAGTTGAATCGAAATTGGTGCGATTTGTGGTTGCTGGACGCGCTGTGGACGGTGGTTGGAGAATTTGGAGGTGGTGCTACAATGGTTGGGTGATTTTGGGGAGGTGAAGGTCGTAGGGGTTGCTGGGAATAGTGAAGATGGCTGCCCAAATGCTGAAGGAGAAATTGCATTAAGTTTTATTTATTTTTTTTTTAAAAGAAATTGCAATAAGGTTAAGGAATCAACATCATTAGAAGATTACCATCGATTTTTATAATTTTTTTTTTAAAATTTATTAACGATTCACCTGTGTTTTTTGGTTTGACAGTATTTATGTTGTATTTTTTTTTTAAAAAAGGAAGGGATTATGTTTTTTTCCCTAAAATGAGTGCTAAGGGACTAAGTCTTTCTCCGGTGAGTTAAATGTGAGTTAACTTGCCGGATTCTTAACTCTAGGTCCCAAAAGGTGAAAAAAAAAACTTAGGTCCCAAAAGGTGAAAAACTTAAAAACTTAGACCCCAACTTTGTACTTAACTCGAAAAATGTCTAATAATATGTGACGGAGGTAGTACATAGAATCTTCCAACTATAAACACAAATTAATATCAAAAGCTTTTTGATCATTACAGATTTGCTAAGAGAAAAAATTGTTGATGGCATTTGCATCAGCAGCATCAGTAGGACCATTAGCTGCAGGAAATGGCCTAAAAATGGCGAATTCTACAACAACGCAAGCGTATCTTGAGAGCAAGCCGGTTCAAGAAGCAAAGGCCTTACTCACGGAACTCTGCCGTCAATTCTATCACCTTGGTTGGGTTGGTGGCACCGGTGGCAGCATCACACTCAAAGTTCATGATGATTCCATCCCTAAACCCCAACAAATCATCATTATGTCTCCTTCTGGTATATTCTCTTTCTTGCTTTGTCCGTTAAATTGATCAATCTGTGTAGTTTTGTGATGTGGGTACTCTTTGATTTTGATTTTTTTGCTGTGCAAGTGCTTGATTAATCAAGATTGTCCGGTTTATGTTTTATTTTTTTTATTTTTTTTTATTTTTTTTTTATAATGTGTTTACCCATTACTTTAATGTTTAGTGTTGTGCAAGTGTTTGATTGTTAGATAGTATGGTTTATAGTCAGAAAAATATAGTCTAGAGTGTTTTATTGATCAATTTGTGTGGTTCTATGATGTGGGTATTCTTCTCTTTTTCAGGGTGTTTTTAGTTTTTTATTTTTATTTTTTACTATGCATTTGATTGTAGTTTAATTGGAAAAGCTTCAAGCTTTGATTTCGCTGGAAATCGATTTTTGTTTCAATTGGTCAGTTGTGCTTGTTTTGCCTACTTATAAGTTATAACATCTTGATTGCCTCTCTATTTTATTATTGTTGAGAAGTCTTATTGAGCTTTAATGTTGCTTCCTATGTTTTTGTTTGTGAGTAGGAGTCCAGAAGGAAAGGATGCTTTCAGAGGATATGTATGTCCTTTCCTCAGACGGGTCCACTGTATCTGCACCAAGTCCAAAACCTTACCCTAACAAGCCACCTAAATGTTCAGATTGTGGTCCTCTTTTCATGAAGGTAATCTCTTCCTTGATTCATTGAGCTGGCAACTGGGTTTTATGGCCATCTGCAATCAAGGAGAGGAGTTGCAAGGCTCAGTTTTTCTAGTTTCTATGGGGTTTCCTGCTTGTCTAGTTTTGTGCAAAAGCCTGTTTGATTGCTTCCTCTATTTTTATTGTGTAGCTGCTTATGTACACTGCATAAAATACAAAATACAATTGCTGTTTTGGAACTTGAGATATTTGGGACTATAGATCTTACATTAGTTATTCCGAAGGATGGCTATCTTTTCTTTTCTTGGTTGTTATTCCAACAGCTCGGCTAGATAGTAATCAGGCTGATTCAACCAATTATGTCTGATGTTTTGAATTTTTACTTTTGAGTGGTCTGATACTCTGATCGGTTCAGTTAACACTTTATGGATGCCTAAAAGTTTCTATTGTCTAAGTTTTCAGTGGTACTGTTGTCTTTGTGTGTTGTTTCTGAAATATGACCGTCTCTTCTACTGTGATATTCTGTGTGAAAATGTTGCTTGGGATTTCCAGGATCATCAACTTAAAGTTTATGATATTAAGTCTCAATCTTTTGTGCAGGCATACCAGATGCGTAATGCTGGAGCTGTCATACATAGCCATGGGATGGAAAGTTGTCTCGTAACGATGATGAATCCAACATCAAATGAGTTCCGAGTGAGTTATTTACTTATTGATCAATTGAAATTGCTGACTACACTTTTATGTTTATTTATTGAATCTTTTTCTCTTGCTATCCTTGTCTTCAGTATTGTATGTGCTAAGTAAAGACTTCAACAATGGAAGTTTGATGGGCAATTATATTATTAATTTGTGTAGTTAGATAACTTGGTTTATCCAACTTTGCTAGTATTAATTTTGCCTTTGACTATGACTATGTAAATCAACCACACAAATACTTTTTCCATAGAAATCAAAATTTCACAATCACCAAATATGCTATCAACATACCTAAATTATATAAAAATAAATTGTTATATACTTCGTTTATCATAAGATAAGTATTATGTTAGGTTTTTGATAAGTACAGTATAAGTATGTCCTTCAAACAATGTACATTACTTTATCCTAAATGATTGTTTATAGAATTAATTATAGACAACAATTTAGTAGTTTAATTAAGAAATCGATATATTTAGCCATAAACAACTAATGATTAGCATGCTTGATTTAAAATAATCCTATAAGGTCGCATACAAGCTTGGATCGAGCCAACTGCAAGCAAATGAGCAAGGCCACATTGACACATCACTACAAGTTGGCCCAAAGGTCGTATGTTACTATGATGCTTAGGGTGGCGGCCAAATGGATGAAAAATGAAAGAATACTTGGTCTATGTTTTCCATTCTTAGTGGAGTTAGTTTATGAAAAAATCAAGGGAACTGGTTTTATCACGGTATTACCACATGAAGTAGATCGTAATAATACCACGTTGATATTCTTCTCATCGCACGATTGGATCTTGTGTGCTAGTCAACCATTAGAGGAACTAAGGAAAGGCACACTACAAAGGAATATTACTAGTTATATTAGGTTCATGATTACTGTGTGTTCAAGTCCATATTATGCATAATATATTCACATCAAACTTAACAATGGTATCAAGAGTTATCTTACACATATTAATTTTTGGTAATTTTTAATATATGTTTCGAATTTATAAAATTGTCACTATATTAATTGGCATGATTTTATATGGTTTTAATCTTGAAGGATATTTTTAAGAAACAACCCTTGTATATGGAGCTTTTTGCAAGATATAATCTGTTTTAACAACTATTTTTTATTTTTTATTTATTTTTAAGATGAATCCTTACTCTATTTTGTGGCGTTATATCATGTCTTTTCCAGTGTTGACCCGCGGTTTCCCGCCACTGCCTTTTCTTCTAATTTCACTCATCTTCTTCTGTTTGCACTCTTTTTTACCTCCTAAATTTTCATCTTCTTTATTTACTTCTACATCATGAAACCACCAAACTAAATACCTCCATTTTTATCCTCTTCATTTCTCTAAAAATACAGCCATTTACAATCCCTCTTCAACATTCTTCTCTTTCCATTCTAACCATCTTTTGCCCTAATTCAACCCTTTTAACCATAAAATATTCAAACAAACCCAAAAATTGTTCTGTAAAGCCTAACATTACAGTTTTAATGTATATATATTTTGCATAATTGATATGTATATTAATTTAAATGTGTAGTGTGCTTCCCCTAGCTGATTTGATCTGGTTACAAGACGTCTAGGACTTCACACGGAACTCCTCTAATTAGCATACACGATTTAACTGCGTGATGAGATTGACAAAGCAAGAACTTTTCTCTTCCTCCTTATCTTCTGCCATACGTATGTTACATTTTTGGGAAATGAATATGAACACAATATTTAGGTTCTAATTCATGTGGTAATTTAGTGTAGGATGGAATCAATCCCCTTGATTCTTTCCTAAACTAACTTCATTTGAATGAAAGGAAAACCTAGACCAAGTTTTCTCCATTTGGCCGGTCACCCTAAGCATCATACGACCTCTAGGCCGGCTTGTGGACTTGTGGTGATGTGCTAATGTGTCCTTGCTCCAATCTTGGCCCTCTTGCGTATAGTTGGTTCAATCCATGCTTTTGTGCAACCCTATATGATTAGTTTACATTAAGTTGCAAGCCCAATTACACTAAGTATGTTGATCGATAGCATTTTTCGGCATATCGATTACTCTGTATCCAATCCGATAAACTATCTTTTAGAATAATGCACATTGTTTAAAGGACGTACTTCCAACATATATATGGTGTGAATTTGGTCTAGTGGAGCAATCGTTTCCTCCGTTTGAGCCTCATATCTCCCCTTTCCCACTATGAGATAGCAAGGTCTTGTTATCTCATTTTACAATACATACCAATTTATATTATATATTTTCTATGTTTGTGGGCAATGATTATATCTAGATAGCTGTAGCTGCTAATCTTCGTAGATTATTGTAATAAACTGATTTAAGGAGGGGCTGCGAAGCTCGGACTCGGTCAAACACCCAGCCGTACCGGTGTCGACACGACGCGACCCGGGTGCGGACACGGAATCTGGGTTGGACCCTTGGGTGAAAAAGTGGACTCGTCAATTGTGAACCCTAGATCTAAAATAGAAGGACAGATTCACCAAACCAAGAGCCTTAACCTTAGGGCTTTTGATCGAAAGTGAAAAACGAGCAGTTTGACACTAAGAAGTTGCCGGATTTCTTTGCCGGTGACGGAAAACTGGTTCTTTGAGTCTCGAGTTCTCGACCATTCAACTTCAAGTGCAATTTCTGTTTTCTTTTATTTTCTTTTAACGTGGGGGTGGGGGTAGGCAGTCTTGAAAATTGAAATAGTGAATGTGGGGGTGGGTGGAAAACTCACGTGATTTATAATCTTATTTACTGTTTCTTTCTTTTCTTTTTTACAGTACTACTTTTATATCTTTTTAAAAGCTGAATAATAAATACTACTCTAAACTTTTACTTTGACCTATTTTTACTTACCTTAAACTCTAATTTTTTTTTTTCCTTAAAAAAAAAAAACTCTTAATATTTTTTAAATTGCCGTGTCCCTGAGTCCAAATTTAAAATATGGACTCTTTTAAAACGTGTCCACGTATCCTTAATTTTATAATATTTCGAGTCTGACACTTGGACCCATACCCGAGTCCGACACCCGTACCCGAGTCCGAGCTTCCTAGAGGAGGGGCACTTTGGGTATTCTAGAATCTTTCACCGGGTTTATGAGAGGAGGCACAAGCACAAGACCACAAGACAAGCACAGTAGCAGCAGCAATTGTAGCAGCAAGAATGCAAAAGCTTTAATGATCCACTAAGAAGTGTGGCATCTGATTTTTGTGTGGGAAAGCCATCTTGGCAGTACCTGACAAAGTCTTTAATTGTCAGGGTACTTTTGTGTTAGGGAGAGCTTGGTATATAAGAGGTAGCAATGCAATAGTAATATTCAGGTTGTTATTGGTGAAAGTAGTAAGTAGTGTAGAAGTAGTGTAGACGTGTAATAGTAGTGTAGTGAAGTAGTCCTCAAGGAAGTAGCTTTAGCCATCTTTCCGTTGTAGCCGTTATTTGCAATTTTCAATCAAAATATCTAAGTTTTCCTCTATTTCTTATCTTACTGTTACCTTCAAACAATCCGAATTACTCAGTCTATAACAATTATATAAACATTTTATATTCCCTTCTGTTTGTACTCTTACCTGTTAAAAATCATAGGGGAAAGAATGTTGTTGTAGCTCTTTAGTCTTTATCCCTGCCTTGTTGCATACCTAAAGTTCTGTTATGAAATCTGATCCAGGCTACTTGAATATTTTGTATGGTATCATAATTGTATAGGAGTGATTTATTCGGAAAATGTTCAGTAGAACATCTTATTATGATTGAATTTGTGGTAGTTCACTCAAGCTGTTTAGAGGGATAATTTGCTACAAAGACCCATGATCAGGGCAATATTTCCTACTGTCTTTATCATTAGACATTAGTACTTGCTTTCATTTCTGTGTGTTGCCTCTTTTTATATTTGTTTTTATGCTTCTTTTAATGTCTTTCTTGGTTTTTGATAGATCACTCACATGGAAATGATCAAAGGTATTCAAGGGCATGGCTATTATGATGAGCTTGTAGTTCCAATCATAGAAAATTCAGCTCATGAACGTGATCTCACAGACGCTCTTGCAGCAGCTGTAAGTCTATATTTTATGCTCCATTTAACCCATTTTATCTATTAGTCTTTAGATAGTGGCTTACAATAGCATTGCAATCCACAAATATTATAGCTAGCAAATAAAGTGGGACAAAGGGATTAACTTGTGTCTTTATCCTTATATCTACTTTACAGCTTCTAATGTTGATTAAGGGAGTGATCTGTAGTAATATTTTTCTGTAGCAAAATTGCAATTTCTCTTATGCTTTGAGCCTCTGTCAGTATAGGTTTCCACATGCCTTCTAATCCATTTGATTTTCTACAGATTGAAGCATATCCCAAAACTACTGCTGTCCTTGTTCGGAATCATGGCATATATGTGTGGGGAGACTCCTGGATAAGTGCAAAGACCCAGGTTAGTTAACTTGCTAATTGATCGATTAGTCATTGTGTTCTAGCACTGTCTCATTTGTTCCAATATGAAATTGGTGTGGATTAACTTTTTTTCTACCATGTAAAGATAACGGAAACCCCCCTTTGTAGCGGACTTCTTTGAATTGTATTCATCTGCTGCTATGATGCATTGTTGCTGTGTTGCAACTTTTGCGTCATTTTCCCATTTGAAGTTAAATGATATGGGATCTTGATCATGCTGTGATGAATTCTTGAATTTTACCTTCAAATTTGCGCATACAAGCTGTACATTACAAAGCTTGTTGAATGGAAATAGTTTGTTTTCATATTGCTATGTCAGCCTTTGTGCATATTATCATTTAGACTTTTAGAGAGGTGTGCTATTCAACTAGCTTGGTAGTAGTGGTAGTACTTAACAAACATAAAAATCTTCCTATCTTCCTATGTGCTTGCAAGGCTTACTGTTCTAGATGCAATTGAATTGACTCAGCTATTCTCTAAATCTTTTGATCAACCAAAATATCCATGTTTGAAGTTAGGGTACCAAGATGTGATGTTTTCGACACTTAGAAATTAGTCGCAGGCTAAAGGAATCATCCCATATGTTTACCCAGTCTAATTGTTAGAATTATACCCATGATGGATCCTAAACTGTTTCTGAACATAGGTTAGGATTAATGTTTTTTTCATCTACTGCAGACATTTTTAAAGTTGTGTATTCTCTCTTCTATCTCCATCTCTATTCGTGCCCTTCTCTCTTCTCTTTTCTTTTCTTTTCTTTCTGTTTGTTGATCTCCTTTTCTAGCACCACTCTTCTATTTTCCTTGTGTATCAGTATTTCAACTTGAGTGGGGCACTTAAAAGTTTAGTAATTGAGACTTATTCTTTTTTATTGGGGTAAAGGTAAGAAAGATATACCAAAGGATCCTTCATGTAAAAAATAAGATAGTTCATAGGATAACTGTGTCAAATTCCAAGGCAAGTTTGGTGTTTGAAACTCTTGGCTCCTCCTTTATCCTAAGAAGAAAAGCTTTGGTAGGGGAGCTGTGTGGTTATAGGTCAAAAGAACTCTCTGGCCAAGTTTCTTAAGCTTGCTTTCTCTTTGAGGAGAAATCAATGGCCAGAATTTAGGCAGCTTTTGTTAGAATGGTAAAGGGTGAGGTTGTGGCAGATCCTGGTGCTCCTTTGTTTTAATATTCAAGTAGATCATGTATGGGTCACCACCACCAAAAGTCAATATGTGTTTGAGATCTAGTTAATAGCCTCCTCTGATTTTTGTTGATTAGCAGCAGCAGCAGCAGCAGTGTAGATTTTAGGGAGTTCTATGCAAACATGTAAATCCATGCATTTGGAGGTGAATGAGTTTTGTGATGCCCTATATATAATGTTAAGTAATGCTCATGGTGTCATGTCTACAGTCTACAGCACCTGAAGTGATGAACTATGAACTGATGATTGAGGAAGTGGAATACACATCATACAATGATGCTTTGTGAGCTATAGGACAAGGATGGGATGTCTATGTCTATGTTCTTACCCTTGATTGTCTTGGGGAATGGCTATTCCAGTACTGTAATGGTTGATGAACCTTTTTTCTTATCACTGTGATCTGAATTTGTAGAAATAAGTTAGCATAGGGCTAGTAGAACTAGTAGTAGTATCCCTAGTCTTTGGTCTGATGTTAAGGTTACAAAGGAGTGGCATGATTTGAACATCGGTCATATGGCTATATTGGAACTTCAATTGTCTGTTTTGACCTATTATCTTCCATATTTGTTTTACATCTGCCATTAAGTAAAAGTTCTTAACAACTTGGGGCCTTGGGGGATAGTGTGGCTTTGGCCGTTGAGCTAGCTTATAGTTGCAAGGATCATGGAGTTAAATTTCAGTAAGCTGATCTTCTTGTGCTTGGTAGTCAGACCCTCTTAAGGATGATTGCTTCTCCTACTGGATCTGGTAAATCATATACGGTTGATGATTCTTTCTCTGCAGAAGAAAGACACACACCAAGGTTAGCTGGTGTTTTGTTGATAGTAGTATCTATGCAGGTCAAGTAATGAGCTCTTGTTCTGGGCATAAGATTTTTTGGTTTATGAGAATCATCTCTGATGAAGAAGGCATGTTATTGGTCACTTAGGTCCTTTATATATTAGATATATCATTGTTGGTTCTGCAGGTAGTGCAAATTAATTTTAAATGCTGTTGTCCAGCATCCAGTGGTCAATTTGGCTGGCAGGAGGAAAGAGTAGTTGCCTCCTAACTTTAATAGTCCTAAGTGTCTCCCACTAGGATGCTATTAATGGTAAGGGTAATATCCAGTATCAAAAGCTTATGCTTGGAACTATTATTAAGTTAAGTATAAAGAAGGGAACTAAACTTCGGGGAAAATTGCAGATTGGGGACTGAACTTTCATTAGTATTAGGGAACTTTAACCAGTGTTTAGGCATAACCGGTTATCAAGTTCAAAAAAAAAAAAAAAAAAATTCTGATGTCATTTCATAGTACATTTATTTCAGAGATTTTGTTTCTGAAACTACAGCTTCAATTCCATTGTTAAGTTTCATTGTTTGCCATGACTCTTGCCAATTTATCACAATAATCTGTTTCTCACTCATCTAGTAGTCACTTGACCTACATTATCCCATAACAAATTACTCCAAAAGAACTAAAAAAACCATCAAATTTTCCTTTTTCTCTCTCTGTTAATTAATGGAAGACAATATATCAATAAGAAGACAAGGATGAGTAGGTGCCGCTGCTTAAGTATACAGCGAGGACGCGGATAGCATCATTTTCAGTGCTTGAAGGGGTGGAAGTATGTTGAAAGGGAGAGATCTGCTTAAGGTTAGGAATGCAATTTGGGAGAAATAACCAAGTTACAAGATCGATTAACATTTATTTTTTTCAATTTGAAATTTTGAATTTTTGGGGAAGAGAGAACATAATCGGTGATTTTGAAGACATTATTATTGACTTTGAAGAGTAGAAAATAATTAGTGTTAGATTTTTATTTTGGGAATCTTTTAAACTTTTCCCTGGTACTTTTTCATTTTGGGTATTGAGGATGGTGATTATGAAATGTGGTGGAAAATCATCTCTCACTTAATGTAATTTTAAATAGTACTCTGATATAATGGGTTTATTGGGCATTTTGCTAGGAACTGTGGTCGGAAGTTTTCTTCTTTTTGGTCTTCAATGGCAGACGGGTGGGTAGAAGTTTGTCAGAAGGTTGAAGAAATTTCTGTTCAAAAATGGAATTTTCCCTTAAAGTCCTAAACTTGAATTAACTGGTTGTAGCAAGTTTCAATCGGAAAAGTGACCTCCGATCAACTTCCAATCCCCTATATGCTACTAGTGAAAGTCAAGTCCCTTGTTTGCAACTTTCTCTTTAGTCCCTCCTGTATACTTAACTCAAATATTATTTAGAGTAGGGAGCTGGAAAATTTATCTTTTACATTGATCTTGAGGATTGTGGTCTTGGGGAAGGTTTAGTAGGATTTAATTTATGTTTTTCTTTCAGGTTTTTTGTGCTGGTGACTTATTGTCCTCTGGGTTGTAATCCTTCTCTTTGTAATCTAATAATTATTTCTTGCCAGTGATGTAATTTTCTTGCAGTGATGACCATATTATTGCAGAGATTTACATATGTAGCCATGCAGAACAACCTTTGTTTTGAAAATTTATAAACTGCAAATCACCCTTGCATCAGTATATTTGGATTGTTTGTGATCTGAATATCTGATATATGTTAGCTGAGTGACTCTAGTCATTCAGCATGAAGTTAATGTCTGATCCAGTTCTGAGGTTTTCCAAACTTGCGGATGTTTGAAGCTGGACAGTTACTAGTCTAAGCTTTATCTTCATGTACTTTTGGCATGCTAAATATTTCATATCCCAATATAATCTAATCTAGTTGACCATGAGCACTAATAGATTCCACTTGCAGAGGTCTGATGTCTATTGCTGCGCTAAAAATGATCCATATTTTGGGTGTAGAATTTGAATTTCCATTGGTTGCAACTTACAACAATTAAAATAGACAAGAAATTTTGAAAATGTTTTTTCTTGCTAATGTAGAAGGCCATGTAATATTAATAACTATGTGCACATGACTTTGTTATTTTAAATAATAATAATAATAATAATAAAAAAAAATCATTCTTGTTGCACTTGGGAGGATAATTAATTCTTCATTACCTTCCTATTTTGTACAGATGTTATTGATCCTTATCTATTTCCTAAATTTTTTTAACTTGTGATTTTTTTAGGCTGAATGTTACCACTATCTATTTGATGCTGCGATCAAACTCAATCAAATGGGTCTGGACTGGTCTACTCCCACCCATGGTCCTATTAAGAGGATTCAAGCAGATTTCAGAAGTGGTGAAAGAGCTGTATCTGCTAAGGCTGGGACTTCTGGATTGAACCCTGGGGAGCCAAAACCAGTAAGTTACTTCATCTTTTCCATTCTTGAGAAAAATTGGTTCCATGGTCCATTGATTTATTATTTTTTGGATCTGATTGCATCAAGTTCTGTCTTGACTTGATTTTTATGATGGATATGCAATTGCTATTTCTCTCTAAGAGTCTGAGGTATAATATGTTCTAGGATTGCAGGTTACCAAATTCTTCTATACCCATGAATATCACATATTAGATTCCCTGGGATCATTCAAGATTTCCTGATGTACTGTCCTTAGGGTTACAATCTTTTAGTCTCCAAGTGATGAACCCCTTAACAATAGACTTAGATATGGCTAATAAGAAATTGGAAAGGCCAAAGTCTACCTTGAAATAGGTTTCCAACTTTCCACTGTTTGCATGTTAGGGTTTTCAAACAGGTATATTGGAAGTTGAAATTTTCGATGTTTAGGTTATTGATTACATGGGACCTTTTCCTTCTTCACGAGAGAATTGATATATACTTATCGCCGGTTGATTATGTATCCAAGTGGGTTGAAGCCATTGCCATACCTACCAATAATGCCAAGGTAGTCTATAGGCTTTTCAAGAAAACCATCTTTCCTAGATTTAGAGTACCTAGAGTGATAATTAGTGATAGAGAATCTCACTTTCACGAGTGGAAGTTGGACACCCTTCTCAAGGAGTATGGTGTATACCATAGGACAAGTTTAGCCTACTATCCCCAAACTATTGGCCAAGTTGAAGTTTTGAACCGTGAGATCAAGGCCATTATAGAGAAGGTGGTAGCAAAATCTAGGAAAGATGGGAGTGATAAGTTGGATGACACCGTTTGGGCGTATAGAACCGCATTTAAGACCCCAATTGGTACTACTCCCTTTAGACCTGTGTATGGGAAAGCATGTCACCTCTCGGTAGAATTAAAGTACAAGGCATATTGGGTTATTAAAGAGCTTAATTTGGATGCCAAGTTAGCGGGAAAAAAGAGGCTCATACAACTTAATCACTTAGATGAGTTTAGGTTGATGGCCTATGATAGTGCACGCGTCTACAAGGAGAAGACCAAGAGATAGCATGACAAGATGATCCTTCCAAGAGAGTTCAAAGAGGGTGATAAGGTCTTGTTATTCAACTCTAGACTTAAACTTTTCCTAGGAAAGTGGTCGGGTCCTTTTACAGTAAAAAGGACAAATAAGTTCGGTTATGTGGAATTATACGATGATCATAGTAGGGTATTCAAGGTAAATGGTCAAAGACTCGAGCTATATCACGAGGGGCTACGATTGGTGCAGTTGAATTACTTCACCTAATCGATTCTGTCCCATCTTGATAAACATATGGTAAGAAGGTCGTGCGGGACCTAGATAAACTAGCGAGAGACAACCTGTATTTCTCGCTTTTTAGTTTAGTTTTATTCCTTTCTTTTTCTTGTGAGAGGAGAGTCGAGGGGATTTAATGAGTATCAGAGTTTTTGTACACGTTTGGAGAAAAAAAAGTTAGCTAAATTTGGAGTAAAGAAGAAAAAAATCGTATCCCTCTTTGCTGTAGCGCGCCTGACCGGGCGCGAGAAGGTCAAATTTTCAAGAGTTTTCGCTTGGCGAGAAAAGACGCGCTCGACCGGGCGCGAGAGTTGACGAGTACGAACCACTTTGTTCGCTCGGGCGAAGCTCTGCTGCGCGAGAGATGAAATTTTTTAAAGGGTTTGTTCTCCCGATCGGGATAGCGGCAAATAATATTCTTCACTTACGCCCGATCGGTCGAGCTCCCACTCGACCGGGCGCTATACCACCATCCCACCTTTACTCCTTTCTTCCTTCTTTCCTCCTTATTTCACTTTCCTCCATTCTTTCTCTCTCTAAAAACTCAAAATCCTCTACCTTCTCTCTAAGATCTTCCCTCCATTTCTCACCCAAATCTAATTTTTTTTTTTTTTTTACATATTCCTTCTCCTCTCTTCACCCTCTACACTTCTATACCAATTTTGTTCACTTTTGAACAATTTTTTTTTCAAACAATGGCATCAAAGAGGTCAAGAAATCAAGGAGGGCGTGGTTTAGCTCAAGCCAAGCATATGACCCAGAATTACAAATCGATGAGTGGCCGAAAATCCGAATGTCAACACAAACCCAACGGAAACGGCTCATCAAGCTCTATTTGATTGTGCGCGAGGTAATTTCTTCTCGGTGGCTCCGCCGAGCCTCTCTTGAATCACTAAGATTATATGATCATGTTAAAAGGTTCATGAATGATTTGTTGATATGCATTATCCTTTTTATCGTGAACTAACATGTGAATTTTTGTTTTCTTTGAATGTTGTAAATAATAAAAATGGTTCTAATTTGCAATTTAGGTTGAATAATAAAAATATTAGTTTAACTTATATTGAATTTTGCAAATTGTTTGGATTGGAATCGAAACTCCCCATCGCTTGCATGAAAATTACAAAATGGAAGATATTTATCGTGTTTTAACTGGTTTACCGGCCCCAAACATCCAACATGCTAGTGCTCGACCTATTCACCATCTCGTCCCTAAAATCTGGCAAAGATTTGTGGGCGCTTGTTTTTTAGGTAGGTATAAACCACATAACGCTCAAACTAATGAACTAGCTATAATAGGTCACTATGTGTTTGGGTTTGGTAAATTGAACACAGGTAGGTCAACTAAAAGGTCATAGGTGTACAACATGGGGTGGTGGTGGTGATGGTGGTGGTGCTCGCCCCTAGGCATGGGCAACTAAAAGGTCATAGGTGTACAACTCTTGCTCGGGGGAAAAGCAAGCGGTCAACTGGGGGCTAGGAAGGGTAAAAACTCGTAATGGGTCATTTCCTACCCTAACACACCAATGAGGGATTTGCTGACGATCTAGTTCTATCCAATCCAATCCAAACACTCTGCAAATACCTAGTGGTCATGAAAGTATCCCCCACACAATTAGTGAAACCCTCAGCCCTAGTCTCACTAAACCCGACTTTTTTAACTGCTATACTAGTAATAAGGCCTCCTAATCGAATAGGGGTCCTAGTGGTGGTACTAGCGGCGGCATGTCGACTCAAATGGTGTATAATATACCTACCTATGTTCAATTTACCAAACCCAAACACATAGTGACCTATTATAGCTAGTTCATTAGTTTGAGCGTTATGTGGTTCATATCTACCTAAAAAACAAGCGCCCGCAAATCTTTGCCAGATTTTAGGGACGAGATGGTGAATAGGTCGAGCACTAGCATGTTGGATGTTTGGGGCCGGTAAACTAGTTAAAACACGATAAATATCTTCCATTTTGTAATTTTCATGCCAAGCGGTGGGGAGTTTCGATTCCAATCCTAACAATTTTGCAAAATTCAATATAAGTTAAACTAATATTTCTATTATTCAACCTAAATTGAAAATTAGGACCATTTTTATTATTTACAACATTCAAAGATGTCAAAAATTCACATTTTAGTTCACGATAAGTAGGATAATGCATATCAACAAATTTTCTCATTCCTATATCATTCATGAACCTTTTAGCATGATCATATAATCCTAGTGAGTTAAGTGAGGCTCGGTGTAGCCACTGAGAAGGAATTACCTCGCGCTCATAGAGCTTGATGAGCCATTCCCGTTGGGTTTGTGATGTAATTCGTATTTTCGGCCACTCATCGAGTTGTAATTCTGGGTCATATGCTTGACTTGAGGTTGAACCACGCCCTCCTTGAGTTCTTGACCTCTTTGATGCCATTGTTGAGAATGGGTTTGAAAAAAAAATTGTTTAAAAGTGAACAAAGTTGGTATAGAAGTGTAGAGGGTGAAGAGATGAGAAGGAATATGTAAAATTTTTTAGATTTGGGTGAGAAATAGAGGGAGGATCTTATACAGAAGGTAGAGGATTTTGAGTTTCTAGAGAGAGAGAGAAAGGAGTAAAGGTGGGACGATGGTATAGCGCCCGGTCGGCAGGAGCTCGTTCGATCGGGCGATCTAAGTGAATATTATTTGCCGCTCTCGCGTCCGATCGGGCGAACGTACCCTTTAAAAGTTTTCTGAAAGTGGTTTGTACTCGTCAAACTCTCGTGCCCGGTGACCGGGCGTGCCTTCGCTCGGTTGGCCGAAAACACTTTAAAACTTGACCTTCTTCTCGCTCAACTCGCCTGGTCGGGCGAATAATCTCTTTTCTTTGCTTCCTCTCGCGCTCGGTCGGGTGGAGCTTCGCCCGGTGGGGCGCGCTACAACAAAGAGGGGTCTTATTTTTTTCTTCTTTACTCCAAATTTGGCTAACTCTTTCTCTAGACAAAAACTCATTAAATTCCCTCTACTCTCTTCTCACAAGAAAAAGAAAAGAATAAACCTAACTAAAAGCAAGAAAATATAGGTTGCCTTGTGCAAAGCACTAGTTTATCTATAGATCCCGCACGACCTTTTTACCATATATTTATCAAGATGGGACAGAAGCGATTAGGTGAAGTAATTCAACTGCACCAATCGTAGCCCCCTCGTGGTATAGCTTGAGTCTTTGACCATTTACCTTGAATACCCTACTACGATCATCGTATAATTCCATAGATACGAACTTATTTGCCCTTTTTACAGTAAAAGGACCCAACCACCTTGTCGTCAACTTTCCTGGGAAAAGTCTAAGTCTAGAGTTGAATAACAAAACCTTATCACCCTCTTTGAACTCTCTTAGAAGGATCATCTTGTCATGTCATCTCTTGGTCTTCTCCTTGTAGAGGCGTGCACTATTATAGGTCATCAACCTAAACTCATCTAAGTGATTAAGTTGTAGGAGCCTCTTTTCTCCCACTAGCTTAGCATCCAAATTAAGTTATTTAATAGCCCAATATGTCTTAAACTTTAATTCTACTGGGGGGTGACATGCTTTCCCATACACAAGTCTAAAGGTAGTAGTACCAATTGGGGTCTTATATGCAGTTCTATACGCCCAAATGGTGTCATCCAACTTATCACTCCCATCTTTCCTTGATTTTGCTACCACCTTCTCTAGAATGACCTTGATCTCACGGTTCGAAACTTTAACTTAGCCACTAGTTTGGGGATGGTAGGCTAAACTTGTCCTATGGTATATACTATACTGCTTGAGAAGGGTGTCCAACTTCCACTTTTGAAAGTGAGATCCTCCATCACTAATTATCGCTCTATGTACTAAAGATGGTTTTCTTGAAAAGCCTATGGACCACCTTGGCATCATTGGTAGGTGTGGCAATGGCTTTAACCCACTTGGATACATAATCAACGGCGACAAGTATATATCGATTCTCTCGTGAAGAAGGAAAAGGTCCCATGCAATCAACACCCCAAACATCGAAAATTTCAACTTTCAATATACCTGTTTGGGGCATCTCATGCCGCCGTGAGATGTTGCCAATCCAAGTCTGCATTCTTGAACATGCTCATTGATCTTAGGTGGAACCATGATGTCCTCCATAAGGTGAGTTGTGGCATCTAGTAAGAACACAGTGAACTTTCCTTTCGGGAACACACCTATGAAATAATCCATATGCACACTCACGAAAAAAGAAAGGATCATCTTAAAAAAATGTTTAACATCAGAAAGGAATTCTTTTTATGTTGGTAGTACTGCCTACCAAATAATTTGCAAAATCGGCATACCAAGGATGTTGTACAATTGCATACAAGTGGTCATTAGGGAAAGAATCATCTATATGAAGAGAATTCTTACCCTTATCATACCTGATTCGTGGCAAGTGTTCTGCTACACCTTTCTTATCTTTGATCTCCACATCAAAGTCTTGGAGCAAGAGAACCCAACGGAGGAGCCTAGATTTTGCCTTGACTATCAAATATTTCAACGCTACATGGTCAATAAAAACAATAACTTTAGAACCAACTAGATATGATCTAAATTTTTCTAAAGCATAAATCACAGCAAGAAACCCCTTCTCCGTGGTGGCATAGTTAACTTGGGCTTCATCCAAAGTTTTGCTTGCATAGTAGATAGCATGCAAAACCTTGTTATTTCTCTATCCTAGCACGACTCCTAATGTAAAGTCACTGGAATCACACATGATCTCGAAAGGGAGATCCCAATCGAGAGCACATATGATAGGTGTCGATATCAAGCTTAATCCTGTTAAAAGACTCGAGACACTCATCAGTAAAAATAAATGGGACATCCTTGAGTAAAAGCTGAGTTAGTGGTTTAGCAATTTTAGAAAAATCTTTGATAAAGCGATGATAAAACCCCGCATGACCTAAGAAACTTCTAACCCCCTTAACATTAACGGGAGGAGGTAATTGCTCAATCACAGAAACTTTAGCTTTATCTACCTGTATACCCCCCTTATTAGATACAATATGACCAATCACTACTCCCTTAGTCACCATAAAGTGACACTTCCCAATTTAAAACCAAATTGCATTCTTCGCATTTTTTCAAAATTTTAGTGAGATTAATAAGACATGCATCAAATGAAGAACCATACACACTAAAATCATCCATAAAGACTTCCATGATAGACTACTCATCATGCAACGCTGAAAGGTGGCAGGGGCATTACACAAACCAAATGGCATTCTACGATAAGCAAAAGTACCATAAGGGCATGTAAATGTAGTCTTTTCCTGATCTTGAGGGTGAATTGGAATTTGGAAAAATCCCGAATACCCATCCAAATAGCAAAAGAACTTATGATTAGCCAGAGGCCTTAGTTTCAGATTCGAAACTTAATGAACCAAACATTGACTATAAGAAACAAGTGTTGGGGGAGGGATGGAGTAATAGTGGTCATGTGTTGGTTTTCCAAGTTGAGGCCATACTCTTGTGTTTTGAGAGATTTAAGGAATCATTGGTGTGGCAATTCCCTGATTTGTCAACTGTCAGCGACAGCAACAATGGGGTGAACATGGCGTTAAAAGGGTAGTGGAGGTGGTTTGTTGGTGATGTTGATGGTGATGGGATTTGACGGTGGAAGTAAAGGATGGAATCTTGCTGTGGCCATGTTTAGAAATTAGTAGTTGGGGTCGTCGGGTCGGTGTTTGAAATTGGTCACCTAGGCGCAAGGCATTAGGGGGTCATGTAGCTTTTGTGGCCTAGGCGATGTGATTTTGATGAGGCGCATTGGTTTTCCACAAATTTTTTTATCGTTTATTATATGCACTTCATTTCAACGAATCACAGTGAGGCGTGCCTTAGGAGCTGGGAACTCTGACAATGCCTTGGTGCGCCTTGACCTTTTTTATACATTGGTTCAGGTTGGCGGTGGAAGTAATGTAGCAGTATTGTCTCTATTTGTTTATCATGAACTGTCCTTTGCGCTGTAGATATGGTGGCCAGTGACTGCAAATTAACTTGGTCACCCACCTTAACTCCCTGCACCCAGGGTCTATATTTTGTTCTATACTTTTTTGTTTTTTGACAACTTGCTTGTTCATAAGATATCCAGTGTCCACACTGAGGTAACAACTGACTTGATCTTAGCATGTATAAATTTTGTATTACTTGTCTAATTGTCACTAAAAAGGCTTCAATCAAGGTTGGTAAAAGGGGTGGGAGGGTGTATCATATGCAAGTGTTAGTTTTGATATATCATCAAAAATCCTTTTGTTGGAAGTTTATCAAAAACATGTGTTATTGATGTGTAAAAATGAGGAACAGAGGGAGTGCTTAAAGTCGTATGTTGGTTTGTCAAATTACAAACTACTTTTATCTTAATTTCCTTGTTTAATATCATTGTGCAGCGCTGCATTGTTCTCGACATTGAAGGAACCACAACCCCAATATCTTTTGTTACCGACGTTCTTTTCCCATATGCTCGTGATAATGTTGGAAGACATTTGAGCTCTACATATGATTCTCCAGAAACTCAAGATGATATTAAGCTACTGCGTGGTCAAGTAAGATCATGTTTTCTTTTTTGATCTTTTATGATACTGTTTCATTAGCTACATTAAAGGCCTCTTACGATCTCCCGGCTCTTGGTAGTGAGGATCCATGTCTTGGCTTAGGGTTTGGTATGTATATCCCTGCATGTTTTACTTTTAGATATGCTTCTTCAGATTAATTATTTGTCTGTTTTCTTATGCCTTCAGGGTAAACCAATCTACTAATGTTATAAAGAACAGATATGATTATGGTAGCTTATTTTTTTTCACCAGAACCTGAATTTCAGTGATTCAGTGTGTCATGTATGTCTGAGGAGTCTCGGGTAAGTGTTGGGTGTCCAAGAAAGTCCACAAACACCATGGCTCGCTAAATTACAATTATATGTGCTTCATAAATTAGGGTCTTACTAGTATATCAAATATGTCTTGGCACCTGAGGCTGTAATGATCTTGTGAACATCTGTACTCTGCAGCGTTGTTTAATTGGTCAGATGCTGCTTGCTAGCTCACAAAATTGTTTCTGAAATGAGCATTATTTTTGTAGGTTGAAGAAGATCTTAAAGCTGGCGTTGTTGGTGCTGTTCCAATCCCTTCTGATGATGAGGGTAAAGAGGAGGTTATTGCTGCTTTGGTTGCCAACGTTGGGGTATGATCAAAGCTGACAGGAAAATTACTGCATTAAAGCAGCTGCAGGTAATTAGAAAATCACAAAGATGTATAAAGAACCTATCTTGACTAGGCTATTGTCTGAATCCTGAAAACTAATTTTCTCACAGGGTCACATATGGAGAACTGGATTCCAGAATAATGAACTTGAGGGTGTAGTCTTTGAGGATGTACCAGAAGCTCTTGAAAGGTGGCACTCTTCAGCTTTCTTGTGAGAGGAGAGTCGAGGGGATTTAATGAGTATCAGAGTTTTTGTACACGTTTGGAGAAAAAAAAGTTAGCTAAATTTGGAGTAAAGAAGAAAAAAATCGTATCCCTCTTTGCTGTAGCGCGCCTGACCGGGCGCGAGAAGGTCAAATTTTCAAGAGTTTTCGCTTGGCGAGAAAAGACGCGCTCGACCGGGCGCGAGAGTTGACGAGTACGAACCACTTTGTTCGCTCGGGCGAAGCTCTGCTGCGCGAGAGATGAAATTTTTTAAAGGGTTTGTTCTCCCGATCGGGATAGCGGCAAATAATATTCTTCACTTACGCCCGATCGGTCGAGCTCCCACTCGACCGGGCGCTATACCACCATCCCACCTTTACTCCTTTCTTCCTTCTTTCCTCCTTATTTCACTTTCCTCCATTCTTTCTCTCTCTAAAAACTCAAAATCCTCTACCTTCTCTCTAAGATCTTCCCTCCATTTCTCACCCAAATCTAATTTTTTTTTTTTTTTTTACATATTCCTTCTCCTCTCTTCACCCTCTACACTTCTATACCAATTTTGTTCACTTTTGAACAATTTTTTTTTCAAACAATGGCATCAAAGAGGTCAAGAAATCAAGGAGGGCGTGGTTTAGCTCAAGCCAAGCATATGACCCAGAATTACAAATCGATGAGTGGCCGAAAATCCGAATGTCAACACAAACCCAACGGAAACGGCTCATCAAGCTCTATTTGATTGTGCGCGAGGTAATTTCTTCTCGGTGGCTCCGCCGAGCCTCTCTTGAATCACTAAGATTATATGATCATGTTAAAAGGTTCATGAATGATTTGTTGATATGCATTATCCTTTTTATCGTGAACTAACATGTGAATTTTTGTTTTCTTTGAATGTTGTAAATAATAAAAATGGTTCTAATTTGCAATTTAGGTTGAATAATAAAAATATTAGTTTAACTTATATTGAATTTTGCAAATTGTTTGGATTGGAATCGAAACTCCCCATCGCTTGCATGAAAATTACAAAATGGAAGATATTTATCGTGTTTTAACTGGTTTACCGGCCCCAAACATCCAACATGCTAGTGCTCGACCTATTCACCATCTCGTCCCTAAAATCTGGCAAAGATTTGTGGGCGCTTGTTTTTTAGGTAGGTATAAACCACATAACGCTCAAACTAATGAACTAGCTATAATAGGTCACTATGTGTTTGGGTTTGGTAAATTGAACACAGGTAGGTCAACTAAAAGGTCATAGGTGTACAACATGGGGTGGTGGTGGTGATGGTGGTGGTGCTCGCCCCTAGGCATGGGCAACTAAAAGGTCATAGGTGTACAACTCTTGCTCGGGGGAAAAGCAAGCGGTCAACTGGGGGCTAGGAAGGGTAAAAACTCGTAATGGGTCATTTCCTACCCTAACACACCAATGAGGGATTTGCTGACGATCTAGTTCTATCCAATCCAATCCAAACACTCTGCAAATACCTAGTGGTCATGAAAGTATCCCCCACACAATTAGTGAAACCCTCAGCCCTAGTCTCACTAAACCCGACTTTTTTAACTGCTATACTAGTAATAAGGCCTCCTAATCGAATAGGGGTCCTAGTGGTGGTACTAGCGGCGGCATGTCGACTCAAATGGTGTATAATATACCTACCTATGTTCAATTTACCAAACCCAAACACATAGTGACCTATTATAGCTAGTTCATTAGTTTGAGCGTTATGTGGTTCATATCTACCTAAAAAACAAGCGCCCGCAAATCTTTGCCAGATTTTAGGGACGAGATGGTGAATAGGTCGAGCACTAGCATGTTGGATGTTTGGGGCCGGTAAACTAGTTAAAACACGATAAATATCTTCCATTTTGTAATTTTCATGCCAAGCGGTGGGGAGTTTCGATTCCAATCCTAACAATTTTGCAAAATTCAATATAAGTTAAACTAATATTTCTATTATTCAACCTAAATTGAAAATTAGGACCATTTTTATTATTTACAACATTCAAAGATGTCAAAAATTCACATTTTAGTTCACGATAAGTAGGATAATGCATATCAACAAATTTTCTCATTCCTATATCATTCATGAACCTTTTAGCATGATCATATAATCCTAGTGAGTTAAGTGAGGCTCGGTGTAGCCACTGAGAAGGAATTACCTCGCGCTCATAGAGCTTGATGAGCCATTCCCGTTGGGTTTGTGATGTAATTCGTATTTTCGGCCACTCATCGAGTTGTAATTCTGGGTCATATGCTTGACTTGAGGTTGAACCACGCCCTCCTTGAGTTCTTGACCTCTTTGATGCCATTGTTGAGAATGGGTTTGAAAAAAAAATTGTTTAAAAGTGAACAAAGTTGGTATAGAAGTGTAGAGGGTGAAGAGATGAGAAGGAATATGTAAAATTTTTTAGATTTGGGTGAGAAATAGAGGGAGGATCTTATACAGAAGGTAGAGGATTTTGAGTTTCTAGAGAGAGAGAGAAAGGAGTAAAGGTGGGACGATGGTATAGCGCCCGGTCGGCAGGAGCTCGTTCGATCGGGCGATCTAAGTGAATATTATTTGCCGCTCTCGCGTCCGATCGGGCGAACGTACCCTTTAAAAGTTTTCTGAAAGTGGTTTGTACTCGTCAAACTCTCGTGCCCGGTGACCGGGCGTGCCTTCGCTCGGTTGGCCGAAAACACTTTAAAACTTGACCTTCTTCTCGCTCAACTCGCCTGGTCGGGCGAATAATCTCTTTTCTTTGCTTCCTCTCGCGCTCGGTCGGGTGGAGCTTCGCCCGGTGGGGCGCGCTACAACAAAGAGGGGTCTTATTTTTTTCTTCTTTACTCCAAATTTGGCTAACTCTTTCTCTAGACAAAAACTCATTAAATTCCCTCTACTCTCTTCTCACAAGAAAAAGAAAAGAATAAACCTAACTAAAAGCAAGAAAATATAGGTTGCCTTGTGCAAAGCACTAGTTTATCTATAGATCCCGCACGACCTTTTTACCATATATTTATCAAGATGGGACAGAAGCGATTAGGTGAAGTAATTCAACTGCACCAATCGTAGCCCCCTCGTGGTATAGCTTGAGTCTTTGACCATTTACCTTGAATACCCTACTACGATCATCGTATAATTCCATAGATACGAACTTATTTGCCCTTTTTACAGTAAAAGGACCCAACCACCTTGTCGTCAACTTTCCTGGGAAAAGTCTAAGTCTAGAGTTGAATAACAAAACCTTATCACCCTCTTTGAACTCTCTTAGAAGGATCATCTTGTCATGTCATCTCTTGGTCTTCTCCTTGTAGAGGCGTGCACTATTATAGGTCATCAACCTAAACTCATCTAAGTGATTAAGTTGTAGGAGCCTCTTTTCTCCCACTAGCTTAGCATCCAAATTAAGTTATTTAATAGCCCAATATGTCTTAAACTTTAATTCTACTGGGGGGTGACATGCTTTCCCATACACAAGTCTAAAGGTAGTAGTACCAATTGGGGTCTTATATGCAGTTCTATACGCCCAAATGGTGTCATCCAACTTATCACTCCCATCTTTCCTTGATTTTGCTACCACCTTCTCTAGAATGACCTTGATCTCACGGTTCGAAACTTTAACTTAGCCACTAGTTTGGGGATGGTAGGCTAAACTTGTCCTATGGTATATACTATACTGCTTGAGAAGGGTGTCCAACTTCCACTTTTGAAAGTGAGATCCTCCATCACTAATTATCGCTCTATGTACTAAAGATGGTTTTCTTGAAAAGCCTATGGACCACCTTGGCATCATTGGTAGGTGTGGCAATGGCTTTAACCCACTTGGATACATAATCAACGGCGACAAGTATATATCGATTCTCTCGTGAAGAAGGAAAAGGTCCCATGCAATCAACACCCCAAACATCGAAAATTTCAACTTTCAATATACCTGTTTGGGGCATCTCATGCCGCCGTGAGATGTTGCCAATCCAAGTCTGCATTCTTGAACATGCTCATTGATCTTAGGTGGAACCATGATGTCCTCCATAAGGTGAGTTGTGGCATCTAGTAAGAACACAGTGAACTTTCCTTTCGGGAACACACCTATGAAATAATCCATATGCACACTCACGAAAAAAGAAAGGATCATCTTAAAAAAATGTTTAACATCAGAAAGGAATTCTTTTTATGTTGGTAGTACTGCCTACCAAATAATTTGCAAAATCGGCATACCAAGGATGTTGTACAATTGCATACAAGTGGTCATTAGGGAAAGAATCATCTATATGAAGAGAATTCTTACCCTTATCATACCTGATTCGTGGCAAGTGTTCTGCTACACCTTTCTTATCTTTGATCTCCACATCAAAGTCTTGGAGCAAGAGAACCCAACGGAGGAGCCTAGATTTTGCCTTGACTATCAAATATTTCAACGCTACATGGTCAATAAAAACAATAACTTTAGAACCAACTAGATATGATCTAAATTTTTCTAAAGCATAAATCACAGCAAGAAACCCCTTCTCCGTGGTGGCATAGTTAACTTGGGCTTCATCCAAAGTTTTGCTTGCATAGTAGATAGCATGCAAAACCTTGTTATTTCTCTATCCTAGCACGACTCCTAATGTAAAGTCACTGGAATCACACATGATCTCGAAAGGGAGATCCCAATCGAGAGCACATATGATAGGTGTCGATATCAAGCTTAATCCTGTTAAAAGACTCGAGACACTCATCAGTAAAAATAAATGGGACATCCTTGAGTAAAAGCTGAGTTAGTGGTTTAGCAATTTTAGAAAAATCTTTGATAAAGCGATGATAAAACCCCGCATGACCTAAGAAACTTCTAACCCCCTTAACATTAACGGGAGGAGGTAATTGCTCAATCACAGAAACTTTAGCTTTATCTACCTGTATACCCCCCTTATTAGATACAATATGACCAATCACTACTCCCTTAGTCACCATAAAGTGACACTTCCCAATTTAAAACCAAATTGCATTCTTCGCATTTTTTCAAAATTTTAGTGAGATTAATAAGACATGCATCAAATGAAGAACCATACACACTAAAATCATCCATAAAGACTTCCATGATAGACTACTCATCATGCAACGCTGAAAGGTGGCAGGGGCATTACACAAACCAAATGGCATTCTACGATAAGCAAAAGTACCATAAGGGCATGTAAATGTAGTCTTTTCCTGATCTTGAGGGTGAATTGGAATTTGGAAAAATCCCGAATACCCATCCAAATAGCAAAAGAACTTATGATTAGCCAGAGGCCTTAGTTTCAGATTCGAAACTTAATGAACCAAACATTGACTATAAGAAACAAGTGTTGGGGGAGGGATGGAGTAATAGTGGTCATGTGTTGGTTTTCCAAGTTGAGGCCATACTCTTGTGTTTTGAGAGATTTAAGGAATCATTGGTGTGGCAATTCCCTGATTTGTCAACTGTCAGCGACAGCAACAATGGGGTGAACATGGCGTTAAAAGGGTAGTGGAGGTGGTTTGTTGGTGATGTTGATGGTGATGGGATTTGACGGTGGAAGTAAAGGATGGAATCTTGCTGTGGCCATGTTTAGAAATTAGTAGTTGGGGTCGTCGGGTCGGTGTTTGAAATTGGTCACCTAGGCGCAAGGCATTAGGGGGTCATGTAGCTTTTGTGGCCTAGGCGATGTGATTTTGATGAGGCGCATTGGTTTTCCACAAATTTTTTTATCGTTTATTATATGCACTTCATTTCAACGAATCACAGTGAGGCGTGCCTTAGGAGCTGGGAACTCTGACAATGCCTTGGTGCGCCTTGACCTTTTTTATACATTGGTTCAGGTTGGCGGTGGAAGTAATGTAGCAGTATTGTCTCTATTTGTTTATCATGAACTGTCCTTTGCGCTGTAGATATGGTGGCCAGTGACTGCAAATTAACTTGGTCACCCACCTTAACTCCCTGCACCCAGGGTCTATATTTTGTTCTATACTTTTTTGTTTTTTGACAACTTGCTTGTTCATAAGATATCCAGTGTCCACACTGAGGTAACAACTGACTTGATCTTAGCATGTATAAATTTTGTATTACTTGTCTAATTGTCACTAAAAAGGCTTCAATCAAGGTTGGTAAAAGGGGTGGGAGGGTGTATCATATGCAAGTGTTAGTTTTGATATATCATCAAAAATCCTTTTGTTGGAAGTTTATCAAAAACATGTGTTATTGATGTGTAAAAATGAGGAACAGAGGGAGTGCTTAAAGTCGTATGTTGGTTTGTCAAATTACAAACTACTTTTATCTTAATTTCCTTGTTTAATATCATTGTGCAGCGCTGCATTGTTCTCGACATTGAAGGAACCACAACCCCAATATCTTTTGTTACCGACGTTCTTTTCCCATATGCTCGTGATAATGTTGGAAGACATTTGAGCTCTACATATGATTCTCCAGAAACTCAAGATGATATTAAGCTACTGCGTGGTCAAGTAAGATCATGTTTTCTTTTTTGATCTTTTATGATACTGTTTCATTAGCTACATTAAAGGCCTCTTACGATCTCCCGGCTCTTGGTAGTGAGGATCCATGTCTTGGCTTAGGGTTTGGTATGTATATCCCTGCATGTTTTACTTTTAGATATGCTTCTTCAGATTAATTATTTGTCTGTTTTCTTATGCCTTCAGGGTAAACCAATCTACTAATGTTATAAAGAACAGATATGATTATGGTAGCTTATTTTTTTTCACCAGAACCTGAATTTCAGTGATTCAGTGTGTCATGTATGTCTGAGGAGTCTCGGGTAAGTGTTGGGTGTCCAAGAAAGTCCACAAACACCATGGCTCGCTAAATTACAATTATATGTGCTTCATAAATTAGGGTCTTACTAGTATATCAAATATGTCTTGGCACCTGAGGCTGTAATGATCTTGTGAACATCTGTACTCTGCAGCGTTGTTTAATTGGTCAGATGCTGCTTGCTAGCTCACAAAATTGTTTCTGAAATGAGCATTATTTTTGTAGGTTGAAGAAGATCTTAAAGCTGGCGTTGTTGGTGCTGTTCCAATCCCTTCTGATGATGAGGGTAAAGAGGAGGTTATTGCTGCTTTGGTTGCCAACGTTGGGGGTATGATCAAAGCTGACAGGAAAATTACTGCATTAAAGCAGCTGCAGGTAATTAGAAAATCACAAAGATGTATAAAGAACCTATCTTGACTAGGCTATTGTCTGAATCCTGAAAACTAATTTTCTCACAGGGTCACATATGGAGAACTGGATTCCAGAATAATGAACTTGAGGGTGTAGTCTTTGAGGATGTACCAGAAGCTCTTGAAAGGTGGCACTCTTCAGGCATAAAGGTTAGTTTTTACTATTTGTTCTTTTCAATTTCTCGCTTTTTCTATTCTATGTCAATTTATTGTATAATTTGTTACAATGTGGATTGGTTATATACTTGTATGGTTTTTTCTTCTTAGTTAAATGAAGTTCCTTGATGAGTATGCTAGGTCATCTTTCACTTTTTTGTTCTTTTAAGGAGAGTGAGTGGGGGTGGGGGTGGGGGTTGGGGTCGAACCTTCTGTAAAAGGCTTGACCAGCTGGTGGCTGGAAATATATGTATCATACAATTGTTGTGATACACTTGTTTGGTCTTGTATGTACATTAAATATAGCAATTCTAATGAACAATTAAATGCTTTTTTGGAAAATTGTTAGCTTTTTTTTCTCTTTCTTCTCTGCACTGATGATTTAATCTTTGGCAGTAATGTAGAATAGGGTAAGTAGAAAAGGAAAGGGAGTTGTAAGAGAGTAGGATAAGGGGAAAAAAGAGAATAAATTAGGTGAAGGAAGAAATTAAACTCATGTGACTGAAGTCACTGAACTCATACATAATCTTTATATATGATGAGACTTGAAACTTTGTACCCTTGTACTACAAGGCCTCCAATAGATTGATTTGGTCCCATCCTATTGAATAAGGAAAGAAAATAAAGGAAAAGTTTTACTCTACTAGAAAATTTTAGGAAAATAGGATGAAGATGTCTTTATATCCTAGATAACCAAATGAGTACTCCCATGAAACTACTATGGCAATACTGAACAAGAGAACCTATATCAAGGAAAGGGGTAGAATTGTGCTATGTGAGAAGAGAGAGGTTCAACAGTACACCACTCAATACATTATTCCATACTTCTATGATGATTTTATTTCCTTGTTTATTGACTTTCTGACCCTAATATCAAGAGTTGAGTCATTGAGGCTTAGGGGCATCTTATTAAGAATAAAAAGGTTTGGAAGTGCTTCTTCAAACCAAAAATTTTCTTTGAATATTTAAAATTAAGCAATACTAATGTTGTACTTCCTTTGATTTTATTTAATTGCAACGTTTCTATTTTCACACTTGCCAATGGACAACTTCAGCCATTAAAATCTGTAATTACCAACAGTAAAAATAATAAAATTTTGATACTTGGAATGTATACATCAAAATTAGGGGCTGTTTTGATTGGGCAGAAATCATTTTCTAGGTAAATTGGTTTTCCCATTTTTCTTCCGCTTGGTTTATAAAAGGGTGAAAGTTTGTTTTTAATTAAAAATGAAAATTTATCCTCAAAGGCTAGAAAATATTTTCTGGTCTTAAAGAGGAGTGCCACATTATCCTCCTAATCCGTCCTCACCATCTCGACCTCCCTCCTCTTCCTCTATAATTTCTTTTCTTTTTTCTCTCTATTTTCTTCATGTAGGAATCTAACAAAGGAAACTGAAGCTTGAAATTTAATTTCCATAAAATATAAAATCCAGTTGAATTTTCTTTTTCATTTGAACTAAACACAGCTTAATAAGGAAAGGCGAATGAGAAGGGCTTGGAAATAGTCTCCAGTGGATCCCTGAGTGTTAACCTATTAGACAATCTCAAGATTTTAAGTTAAGGGCTAAAGGCTAGGAGCCAAGGATGCTTTTCTTGGATATGCATAGTATATCTGTGTAAATCCATATGTTTTCTGTCAAGGAGAGGGGAAAGAGCTTGTAAAATCAAACAGTCTTGGTGGTTCTACCACTCTGCACTACTTAAAACCTTCGTGAATATTTGTTGTAACTTTTATGTTTGTAATTTTTTTCTTTCAGTTAATTGTGGGCTTTGGCTATATACTACGAAAACTTCAAATTTGTTAAATAACTACCAATGACAAGCAATAGCCATCCACAAGTAAAATTATAGTAGGGAACTTGCTGGTGGTATTTTGTTGGTTGACTAAATGTTTGTGTTCTCATTGTTCTTTAGGTTTATATCTATTCCAGTGGCAGCAGGCTCGCGCAAAGGCTTATATTTGGAAACACCAAATATGGAGATCTTAGGAAATATCTATGTGGATTTTTTGATACCGCAGTTGGGTACGTGCTAATTTCTATGGAACACTTTAAACTCGTTATGCCAAGCTTACGATTGATTTGTAACTTAATTCTCAGTAAATCATATGGCAGTAATAGGCCATAATGAAATTGCAGCATTTAGTGCTCCTTCAATGGATCAAGCTGCCTGCAATATTTCCAAAGTAACCATTTGAGGATAAACCATTTGGGACCAAGCCTTCAGGCACTAAGTGGAAATGGTTTGAATTAATATGGCTTATAAATGACCTTCACCATAATCACTATATCTTAGTATGCTTCACTGCTTAGAGAATATACACTACGCCAACTTTTTAAAAAAAAAAAAAAAAAATCACTCTTCCAATAATATCATGATGTGCTAACAAAAATATTAATAGTCCTTGACATTTTCAGTACTTATAATTTTCTTTACCCACGTTTGATGCAGCGTTGTTTTATTAGCAAAATATCATGTATTATCTGAGTGAGTAAGCATTTACAAATATTAAACCTTATTGCTTATTCAATTGTTTTGAAGAGAGTAGTGGATTGAGGAGGGGTCATTGTTAGATCCAGGAGATTTATAGTGGATTGGTCCAAGAATTCCATCACCGAATTGTGCTGTTCTTTATTTCACAGGAACAAGAGAGAGACGCAAAGTTATGTTGAGATCTTCAACTCAATGGGGGTTGATGATCCATCAGAGATCTTATTTGTAACAGATGTCTATCAGGAAGCCACAGCAGCAAAGGAAGCCGGTAACTGCTTGTAGTTTGCTGCTGTAAAATTTTTATTATGTTCTTATCTTCCTGGTTAGCTTTATATCTGATCTTTCCTCCGGTTCAATTCTATGATTCTATCATCTCAGGTCTTGAAGTTTTAATTTCAGTGCGGCCTGGAAATGGACCTCTTCCAGAGAATCATGGATTCAAGACAGTGAATTCATTTTCAGAAATATAATACTTCTTCTGTAATTTAGCTTCTGTAATCTTTCTATGACTTGCAATAATATACTTCTAATTTCAAAAGTATCAATATTCAATAAGATGTATATTTGAAATAATTGGAAAGGTAAATCGGAAACTGGTTTAAGCAGTTTTTTTTTTTTGGAATGAACCTCGAAAGTTTAAAGGACAAGGTATTTTACACACCAATCTGTTAAAGAATATGGAGTATTTGCTTTGCTTCTGAATTCAGAATAATAAGAGAATTCATCAGCCATATTCATATCTTGTCTATTATTCACTCGGGTGTACCACGTAAAGTCTAAGATGTCAAAATAGAGTCACTATATCTATCTTTTTTTGCCATAATTTTTGGCTTGTCAAAGTACATCATGATTGCATTTGCATTGCTTCCTAATCATAGTTTTATTTGCTTTCTCATTTGCATTGATTTCAACAGCCAAATAATGGTCACAACCGTGGGTCCAATAACATAAATCAACTCGGTGGAGGATGTTGTACCTTCTGCAAGAGGGAAACTGTCCTTTTAATTCTTTCGTTTATTTTGTAATTTTTGAGTATAGTAAGAGGGAAATCTCAATGTCAAAATACATAATGATTGTATTGTTTTCTAATCATTTGGTTTGAAAATTTTGATGTCTTTGTATCATCTTTTACGGACATTGTGCTATGGTCCTTGTTTAATCATTTCTTTGATTTTTTTTTTTTTTTTTTAAAAAAAGTACTAATTTATTTATTTTTCATATATAGTGGACTAGGATTTACCAATTCAATTTAAATTACTCCAATTCAATCTGAATCTAATTAGATCCTACTTCGAATTTAAGGGTTCGTTTGGCACCGCTATGGTTTTCTGTTTTTTGGTTTTTTGTTTTCCAAAAGTATATGATATGTGTCCCATAATGAATCAAAAATTATATAAACTTGTTAAAATTATGATAATTTTGAAAACTGACAACAGAAAAGTAGAAACACCTTTTTCTTGTTTCCTGTTTTTGGTTTTTGGTTTTCAAAAAAAACAGAAAACTTAAAACCAAAACTGATGTCAAACAAGCCCTAAACTTTTAGTTTGGATTTATTTGAAATCCTATTAAAAATTTACTCTCTTTTTATTTTTTTAATAGTAGTACAAAGTATATTTCGTATTTGCTATTCAAAAAAAAAAAGAGTATATTTCGTATTTGATTAGGTGATAATTATTAAATTACAAATTGACCCAATAATAACTCATCACGTCTTGATAGATAAATAACATTGTTGTGAAAAATAGAGAGAAATGAGGCCCATTACTTATTCCATACGATGAGAAATATATATATGCGTTCCACGGAGAATTTTACATGAGAATGTAGTGGGAGTGGCTTGGCCACGGGTAGTACCTTAGTTTTATTTTGCTTTTGTTTTTTTTTCCTCGGGGTGTTCCTCTCTTCTGCACCAAATATATATATATATATATATATATATATATATATATATATATATATATATATATATATATATATAATCACTAGGGTTTGCTTTGAGAGTACAAGAGTATGATAAACATCCACATATATTTTGAAACAAATTGTTCAACACCAACAATATAGGTGTTGTTCTTGTAAAAGGAAAAAAAAAAACAATTAGGCATTGTTTGGTTCATCTAATTTTGTTTCGAAATATTTTATTTTATGTTATCTGAATCAATTCTGTTTTACATGAACTTATTGTTGTTGTCAAAACTCTAACAAAATTCCTTGAACATCCGATGTGGAACTTATATAAATTTTAAGTGCCTACACTTTTTTGAAAGTATTATTTTATTTTTCTTATTTTATGTTATTTTTTTAAAGGCTATATTATGTTAATTTTATAAACGTTTTTTTTTTTCTCTAAATCTATCTTGAGTACTATTTTTTTTTTCTTTTAACCTTTGTAATTTCCGTTTTGATATCATTTCTTCAAAGGAAACTATTGTGATTATTTACATAAACACATATTAAAAAATATAAAAATTCACGATTATTTCTTTAATACTACGTATATAAAGTATCTGGTTACATTTTTTACTGGTATTTTAAAAGTCGAACTATTGCAGTTATTCATATACAAAGAAGATGATGCGTAAATGATATTTTAGGTGAATTAAATCAACATCATAAATGGATCTAGTTGTAAAACACAAATTTTTAATAAAGGCAATTTACAATAAATTAGTGTAAATCAAGCTTTCAAAAGGAAACTATTTGTTTCCTTATTTCAAACACACGTGCCAACATTAACTTCCAAAATTTTGGCAATTCAAATTATTTTCTCTTTCTTCGTCATTCTGAAATTTCTTTCTCTCTCTTCCTCCTTCCTTAACTGAGATTTTCTCTCTCCTCAACCGGCGATTTTCGAGCTTTTTCTCTATTTTCTTTCAGTTGCTAAGTTGTTATTTGCTATTTCAGGATTGTTTACTTAATTTTTTGAGATCTTTGTTAGTTTTAGTTATTTTTATTTTGATTTTTTTTTGTAGTGTTTGATTCTGCAATTGTGAAGAAGAAGAGTGCAAAGAAGTCAGAACGCGTGTTATCTTAATTTTTTATCATTTTTTCAAAATTTCCAACTCAATTGTCACTTATAAATGTGTTGTCATATGTTGAATTACTAGTGCATGTAATTTTTAGAGTTTGCACTTGATTTTTTGCTTAATTTTTATGCATATTATGATAATTGAAATTGAATTTTGAAGTTAATGTGTTTAATTTTGCTTTATTTTATTGTTCATTGTATTTAATTGGTTAAAAATTTAGGCTCTAAGTGGTTCTTTCCAAATACTCCCTCCGTTTTTAAATACTTGCTCCATTTCTCTTGGGCATGCATGCCGATGCTAATCTTTGATCACCAATATCTTCAATTACCAATAAGTATAAATTCTAACAATTGAAAATTAATAATCTATTCATTGATATGATTCTAACAAGTACCCACAAGACTATATTTTTTCTTATGTATAAATCACAAATATTAGTCAAAGTAGGACAAATGAATAGTACAAAAAATAGAAATGGAGCAAGTATTTAAAAACGGAGGGAGTATAATGTTCTATTTTATCTGAATCAATTCTATTTTACTTTAACTTATTTGAAATTATTTTTAAATTTGTCTTATTTATATTAATTTTATGAACTTATTTTGTCAAAACCTTTTTCTTTTTTCTCTTAAACCGATCTTACTACATTTTTTTCCTTTTAACTTTGTACTTTTTGTTTTGATATCATTTCTGAAGGAGTTCTGTCTTCGATAAGTGCAATTACTAGATATATCAAGGATCACTATTATGGAGATAATAAGTTCGTTCTTTTGGATCGTCATTATCTGTTGCTAGATTATGATCATTGATCTTTGGGCTAGTCAATTACTCTAAAGCCCACTAGAATGGATCCTATGAGGTCACACAACAAAGGTATTGGGTTAAGCAAGCTAGAGGCCTATTTATGGGCCTCATGAACAAGTAACCAATCATGAATTGGATTGGGCTAGTATAGTTAGATTAGAGTTAGGATTTGGGCTAGTATAGTTAAATTAGAGTTAGGATTTGGACTTTGTCATGGACTCTTATTTAAAGATGAGATCTATAAATAAAGTTCATGCCTAGGGTTGTATGATACAACACAATTAACAGTTGATTGTGCATCAAGCAACCAGTAATCCAAAACCTCTATCTCTGTACCGTACGCCTATCCCCTCCCTTCGTGGTGGTTCGTGATTTGTTCGTTGCTCGTTCTACTCCATAGAAAGTCAATTGAAGTGTTCGATTGCAACTAACTAGCATTAGTGGAGGACTTAATCTGTGCCTGTGGACCAAGTAGAGGAATCACGCTTGAGGTTCTTTATCTCCCCTGTTCTTGTTCGATCGCACGTGGAATCATGCTTCAAAGGTATTAATTCCAATTCTTTATGTGTTATGCATGATCTTGGGATTAGGTGCTATATGAATATGATTCATGTTGTCCGCATTCATACCTATAAACTCCTACAGTTTCTTCAAAGGAAACTATTGTGATTATTCACATAAACACATATAGGAAAAAAAAAATTCATGATTATTTCTTTAATATATGAAGTATCTAGTTACATTTTTTATTGTTAATGTAAAAGTCAAACTATTGTAGTTATTCATATACAAAGAAGATGCTATGTAAATGATAGTTTAGGTGAATTAAAACAATATCATAAATGAATCTAGTTGTAAAATACTTTTCGATGCAAAACTATATAACAATTAAAAAAAATTATTATACTCATTATAGAAGTTAATTAACTATGTAATACTCTATACTAAAGTAGAATCTATTTGGAGGGAATTTTCCCTCCCAATCTCCGCTTTATACTCGTAATAGTATTATTATCTAATTATTGTTATGCACATTTTTCTACACACTTCAAATTTACTTATTTAACAAATTTAATTATTTATTTATTTATGGATTGACTATTGACTAACATTTACACATAAATTTCTATATTTCAAATACTTTACCGTATTAATTTTAAAAATCGAGCATGACTCGAGCATTATCCAGTATGTATTACAAAGCGCTAGCTAAAATTGTAATACAATTTAAAGTTTACGACAATCTTAATCCTAATAATAATTTCTAAATTATAGTTTCTAAGAATGAAAATGAGGTGACAAGTTCTCATTCTTAGAAAAAATCTTAATTCAAATTTAATATATTAGATTAGATTATAAACCATACGACTTGTATAAGGAAATGAGTCAAAATATGAAAATGATTCTTCAAAATTTAAAACTGTGACATATTATTTCAAAATAGATTGAGATATACTTGGTACTTTGTACTATTGTTATGTATCATTTTCTTTCATTCTCAATTATAATGATGAAAGTCATATCTTGGTGCCCACAACACGATGTGTTTGGCACTCATTAAGTTTTGGTCTCTCAGTAGTCAAAAAAGGACTGCGTAACTAAGAAGACTAAAAGAGTTTAAAGCTATTCTATAATGAAATCAACGACCATTCGACCAACCACCTTCTTTATTATTAAACAAGAAATTTATACTACTCTTACTTACTAGAAAGATTGAATGATAAAGAAAATGACTACTACTACTAGTCTACTATGTTGTAGAACTATTTTCCTGTTTCATTTACTTCCTTTCAATTTACCAACTTTGTCTATTGCTAGATGCTCTTCCCTTTTCCTACCTGTTACAGCCCGTAGCAAAAGTTTTGCAAATTGTAACCACTACGCGCCGTACAAATGCTATAATTTTATACGGAGAACATTGTTTATAGAGAGATGAATCAGGTTGCGGATTGGATTGAAAATCAAGAAGCTATTCAAGAAGAAATAAAAAAACCTAAATTTTCACGATTACACTTTAAAATTTTCAACTTATTTTCATTTATTTCAAGTATAATGAATTCAAATAACTTCAATTAAGTTCAAATAAATTTTGTTTAGGAAAAGTAAGGATATGTTCTGATTTACTGAACCGAGTTGAAGTGAGCTGAACTGATTAGAGTTGAACTGAACTGATTGAAGCTGAGCTGAACTGAACTGAACTGATTGGAGCTGAACTGAATTGTTTATGAGAGAAAGACATTAGGAACTGAACTGATTGGAGTTGAACTAAACTGGAAAAAATTAAGATGAAGAGAACAGACCCTTAGTTCTAATAATGGTTATCTAAGTACAAATTACAACAAAAAAAAAAACAAGTTTTAATAAAGTTTAATAAGTATAAGTAAGATAAAAGAAATATTGGTAAATGAAAATCAGGTGATTTAAACTTACATACCCGTTAGTTGATTGTGCTAGAGGGGTGGCTTTAGCACAACTAGTTCCTAAATAGATTTTTCTTTTTGTTTCAGGTGTGGCCTTCGTGTGCGCCATTAAAAATTACTATATATTTTTTTCCTATAATAAAATTGTCCATATCGTATGCAAAGAAAAATTTATAATTGAAAAACATGAAAAAAAAAACCCAAAAAAATATGCAGCTTCTTTTTGTTAGGGATTACTCGAATTATTCAGTCATGGGTTACTTGAGAGGTTTGGACAGGGTTACTCGAAGGGTTCACTCGGTCAAGGGTTACTCGGTTAGGGCTTACTCGATTTACTCGGTTAGGGATTATTACTCGGTTTGGAGTTACTCGAGTTACTCAATTAGGAATTACTCAGGGGTTTACTTGGTAATGGGTTGCTTGAATTACTTGGTCAGGGGTTACTCGAGTTACTCGGTCAGAGGTTATCTAAGGAGTTCGATTAGGTATTACTCGAGTAATTTGATCGGGGGTTATTTAAGGAGTTCAGTCAGGGGTACTCGATCAGGGGTTACTTTAGGGTTCAGTTAGGGGTTACCTGATCGATTAACTTGAGCAATCCCGACAACTCGAGTAACCCCTGATTAAGTAACTCGAGTAACCCCTGACCAAGAAACTTGAGTAACACCGGCAACTCGAGTAACCCCTTACCGAAAAACCCAAGTAACCCTGATAACTCGAGTAATCCCTAATCGAGAAATTCGAGTAATCTCTGCCGCACGGTACAGTAGGCCGCATCCAAAAAATTATGAAAAGTATTATCTTTAAGAATTTTCTATATTACTTATATATCTTTCACATATTTTCTAAACATTCCGTACATTAATACGAACTACATACTATGTAAAGACCAAATGAAACCCTATTTTTTCATACTTTTCAACACCCTTTTATAAATATATATTGAACTATTGTATTCTTGATTTGAAATCTTGAATGTTATTCACGTTCACCCAAACATTACATGATTCATAAACAATTCTAATTTTTTTAGAATTTGTATTTCATTTTTTTTATTTGTTTAAATTGAGAAGTATAGATCAAGTCTAAAAATGAGATTTGGATATATCATAATTCATATATGAGCTAAAAGTGTACGTAGATTTCAAATGGTAGGGAAGAATTTGACGTTAGCAAGATGAGATTTTTCCTCACACCCTTTTTTGTCACATGGGGCCGCCTCTAACACTTAGCTTGACTCACATACTTAAAATAATTTGGTACAAAACTGAGTATCATATCAAATCACATACACATTGTATACTACAACCTGTACTTTGTCTAACATTGCGGCTGTTCCATTAGACTTGGATGTTTATAAATTTTACTCCATTACTTTAACTTTTATTATTTATATATAGTTTTATTTAATAGCATTTGTATGCTAAAAGTCTTGCTTAAGTTATAGTTAGGAATGAGGCTCTATTCGATTTACCTAATATGATATAAATATTAAAGATTATAAATAGCATTTATTACGCACATAGAAAATTTTTGAGATCTAAATGTATGTTCACATTAACTGAACTGAGCTAAGCTAAATTGAACTGAATTGTTTGGAGTTAAACTGAATTGAACTGAATTGAGCTGAAATATAATGATTATTTTATGAGAGAAGGAAATTAAAAGGTGAACTGAACTGAACTGAATTGAGCTGAAATGAAATTAAGGTGAAGTGGAAATACCTTGAATAAGAGCTGCGAAGTATGAAAAGAAACAGGAGAAAATACAAGTTGATCTTCATAATAAACAAAAAAAAAATGTCATCTGTAAATAAGTCAATAATTCTTAGTAAATACGGATCCTATGATTGTTGATTTATTTACAAAAATATCATGTTAAATGGGATATTTTGTTGATTTATTTACAAAAATGTCACTAATAAACGATTTTTTGTATATCACGGTGATTAAATAAGGCTTCCTCAAAAAATAGAATGAGTATAAAAATGAAAGATGAGTATAAAAACTCCATACCAAGTTGTTAGGGGTTTATGTTCCAATTGAAGACATACAAAATGAAACTTGTAAAATGCATGTACATGCATATAATTACAAAAAAATACTGTAAAATATAAATTACAAAAAAAAAAAATCTCAGCAAAGAACAGTAAGAGAGAGAGAGAGATATGAGTCAGAATGGGACCCAGTTATCATCCTATGAGTCTTGAAGAAAGGATTATGAGTGAAATTAAGTCCCCACAAAAATGAAAAATGCCAATACAATAGCAAGATTGTATGTACTACTACTCCAAATTCATACAATCTTACTCCTTAGTAAGTAAGTGAGTTTAGTTTAGTTTGCTGTTTCATTCTTTTTAATTGCTTTGCTTACTCACTTCCTCACTCACTCACTCACTCACTCAACTCACTCTATCTACAGTCTTAGTGCTGCTCTGCCAATCAATTGGACCATTTTTAACCCTTTTTTTTCCACTACAAAACACTTCTTGCCCCCACCCTCTTTTTAATTTCCTTTCCCTTTGTTTTATATTGTTTTTTTTCCACTTATAATCTTGTAATGAAGCGTAATTGGTCAAAGTAGAAAGAACAATATGAACATGGTAAAAAAGAAAAAAAAAAGAAAAAGGAAGGAGAGATAAATAAATAAAATAAGAGAAAATAAATGATTTTAAAAAAATATACATGTGGATATAGTTTTGGTATCACTACTAAATTAATCTGGTAAAAGGGCAAATTAAATTCCTGTAATTGCACTTGAGAAATCAGGATGACATTAAATTGGTAAGTTCTATTTTTGGACTTACGTCACTTTCACAATTGCTCACATGACTCAGAATAAGATACCTTTTCGTGGAATACTACTAATCCCAGTTGTTCATTATTGAACCCATGGTTCTCAGTTTCTCCTAGATGGCCTAGGCTAGGTTACTTAACTAATTACTATGGTAAGGGCATTATCGTCTTTTCATATGATTACTAATCACCTAACCATTAAAAATTATGCGAAATTTTGTAATATAATTTAAAACATAGTTACTCTGTTGCCAAATGATCTCACCAATGTAAATGTACGTTAGATTTTAACGATGGTAACCATTGTGTAGCAGTGGCGTCACCAGGATTTTCGAAGTGTGGGTTCGAAACTTCCGAAATTTGAAATCATAATTAACAAAGGAATAAAAATACAATAATTAAATATTCAGTACATAAATAATTTCAAACTATGGATTACAAATAGATTACACATAGAAAAATGAAAAAAAAAAAAAAAAAAAGACTACAGAAGCATTCTTCGAGTCTTCATACTTTGGAAGCGTTCCAATACATCATCATCACTAACTCTTGAAAATAAATCTCTTTCAAGAAAAGTGACTAAATTATCATTCAATAGTTGATCACCCATACTATTTCGCAACTTATTTTTTACGTATGTCATTGAGGAAAACACTCGTTCCACGCTTGCAGTTGCAACCGGAAGGATCAATGCTAGTCTTATAAGCAAGTAAACTAAGTTGTAAGTAGTATGCTTATTTGTTTCAACAAGCATCATAGAAAGCTCATGAATACCCTTCAAGTCTCCAAACCTTGCATCTTGGCGCACATCATTAATATAAAATTGAAGCTCATGACGAAGTGCAGTCATCGTCATATCATTAGTTGGAAACTCTTTGGGATATAACTCAGCAAGTCTCAACAACTTTTGCATATCAAATGCCGCAAATGAATTGATCGGGTTTAAGCATGACACACAAATAAGTAACTCCATATTTTCTTCATCAAATCTACTATTGAGCTCTTGGAGTTGTAAATCAATAACACTTATAAACATTTCTACCCGAAATCGATGAAGATTTGAAACTTTGGAAAAGAAGCGTCTTGACCTTCCACGAGGAACATACATATCATCCATAGTAGGAACTTCTACATCATGTTTAACACAAAAACAAACCACAAGATGTAAAAAGTCTTCCCACCCATGGTCCCTCATTTGTTGTAATCCCTCCTTAGTCAATTTAACATATGTCATGGCATTAACAATATCTTGGTCCCCCTTTTGCAGAGCTTGACACAATTTATCAGTAATCCCAAATATTTCGGACATCAAATGTATCATAAATACAAATTCAAATGATTCAAATGTAGACATGACAGTGATAGCCTTCACGCGATCATCCTTATAAATCTTATTTGATCCAATCTTCTCAAGAACTTTAACAATAGTAGCATACAATGCGGTAACATTTGAAACAGTTTTGTAATGTGATCCCCACCTAGTATCACCAGGCCTACCTAAGCCATGTTCTTGGTTTAAACCTTGCCCACTTTCAATTTCTCCTAGTTCTAATGCTTGTAGAATATGTTGAGATTGTATTTCTCTTATCATTTCCCTTCGCTTACAAGAAACACCAATAATATTCAACAAAATAGCAAGTTGATCAAACAACCAAATACAATCATCATTATCCTTAGCAACAGCAACAAGGGTTAATTGAAGTTGGTGAGCAAAACAATGAATATAATAGGCTTGTTTTGTTTCATTCATGATCAAAGTCTTGAGACCATTTATCTCCCCCCTCATATTACTAGCACCGTCATAACCTTGTCCACGAACTCTAGACAAACTCAATGAATATTCCATAAGCAAAGACTCAATTGCACTCTTTAGTGACAAAGCAGTAGTATCCTTAACATGTACAATTCCAAGAAACCTCTCATTTATCTTCCCTTTATTATTGACATAACGCAAGCAAAGGGCCATTTGTTCCTTTTGAGATACATCACTAGATTCATCAGCCAGTATTCCAAAATAGTCATCCCCAATATCATCAATAAGAAGTCTAGTGGTTTCTTTGGCACAACAATTAATAAGTTCTTTTTGAATTAAAGGACTAGTCATTCGATTATTTCCCGGGGCATTACCTAGAACAACCTTTGCTACCTCACTATTATTTTCTGAAAACCATGTTAAGAGTGCAAGAAAATTACCCCTATTCCAAGATTCTTCACTTTCATTATGCCCACGACAAGCTAAACCTTGATTTAAAAGAAATCTAATACATTTCAATGAATAAGTCAAGCGAGATTTGTATTGTAGTTTAGCTTCCTTAGAATAAGTGCAAAGAGATTCAGCAACTGATGTCTTTGGGTTGATAAACATACTATATTTCTCATTAGCCTGATTATGGAAACTACCAATACCACCCACATGAACATCAAATCTACCAGTCTTATTCCATCCTCTAAATCCCCCTTTAATAAAGGAATCATTAACAGCCAAAGAATAATCAACTTTATCAGTGAACAAATAGCACACAAAACAAAAAGCCGCATCTTTCTCAACACTATATTCAAGCCACTCATATTTATCAAACCAAGTAACATTAAAACGGCGCATACCTCCAACTTTTCTTTGAGGAAAATTATGTGTGCGTGGATCACAATGTTTCTTTGTAATATAGCCTCTCCTTACGGCATCTCGATCATTAGGAGGATACTCCATAACTGGAATTCTTTTTCCAGGGTCATGTGGAAGAAGATCAACATCATAAATGCGAGTATCATCGGAGTCAACAGTAGTATTAGTGTTCTCAGGTGGTGGAATTGTTGCAGCAATAGGAACCTCATCATCATTAGGAGACACATGTTCTTCTATTGGAGGATCCCTTGAACTAGGTGAAGAACAAGTTGAAGACTTTTGTGACTTCCCGGCACGTTTCCAAAATGACTCTAAACTCATGGTATAATAGGTATATGCTGCTAGTCTGCTGCACACACATGATAAATGCAGAATGAAATCAATGAAATAATGAATGAATGATATATCTAGAAGGCTAATTAAAACTATCGTAATTAAAGATTACAGTCAATTACTCAATTAGTAAACGAAATCTAGACGGCATAAAACGAAATAGCAAATGAAATTATGAAAACTAGAAGGCAGAAACGAAATACAGAAAATAGCATATGAATTGGCAGAAACGAAAGGCAGAAAATAGCATAGCATATGAAAATCAGAAAATAGCATACGAAATACAAAAAAATCCCCAAATTGAGAACTTGAGAAGTAAATTAGATAATTATAACCGATTAACCAAACTTCAGCAATTTACAAAAAATTGGCAATTCGTAAATCGTAATGTATATTAGCAATTGAATTTAGCATATGAATTCAATTTTCAAGTATTCAATGATTTAGCAAAAAAAATCCCCAAATTGAGAAGTAAATTACATTTGCAAAAAAAAAATCCCCAAATTGACAAATTCACTTACCCCTACATACACCGATACACCATACACGGCTGTGAGGCTGGGACGCTGGGTCTGGGTGAGTGGCTGGTGCGCTGCCGGCCTGCCGCTGCCGCCGTGTTCTGCTGACTCTGCTAGTCTGCTGCCGTGCTGCGCCGGGAAGAGAAGGAGGAAGAACGGGAAGAGAAGGACTGAAGGAGGAAGAACGGGAACTCGGGAAGAGATTAAGAGAAGGAGGATTGGAGGAAGAAGTTAGGGTTTTGCAATTTGGGGGAATGACTGAATGAGGAAGAGGAAAGCGAACTCTGGAAGCACGAAGCAGGAAAGCTCAGTGCTCAGGAAACAAAATTAAAAAAAAAAAATGTGAGTTATGGGTTTTGAACCCACAACCTCTTGTGTGATGGGAGGTAAAAATAACCACTGGGCTACAACTTTACTTGTTGCCATATAATACACAAATATTCTATTTAAACCTATTTTGATTTTTTTTTTTTTTTAAAAAAAAAAAATTTAAATTTTTTTCAAAAAATCAGTGGGTTCAATGAACCCACTTGAACCCACCCTAGTTCCGCCCCTGTTGTGTAGCAAAAGAACACAGTAATAAAATCAAAAGATACTTGTATTTTATCGGTTTATCTTAAGACTTTAAAGCGATAACTTAGTTGAAACTCGGATGATATCGTACTTATCGCATGTCTCATACTAGTATGTCATCCCCGGCCCTAACAAGAAAAACAACAGATTTTCAACTATACTATGTCAATACCATGCATTGGATCATGGCCGCATGGTTACTAAGTGTTTCGGGTGAAAACAATGGGACCTTGCCGAAGGTCCGATGAAGCGGAGAAGACTAGATTCGATCCAAGTAATGTTGGGCCGAAGGTTTCCTGCACAGTAAACACACGTAAACTAGCCTCGGGGGTGTTGCCGAGGAAGGCCCCTCCGATGCTAAAGTCAGTACAATGTGTAGAAAGAGAACACTATGCAAGAGAATTAGTTGCTTGAGGCTTTGCTTGAATGAATGTAAAAATGTAATATTGATGGCTTTTATACCTCTTCATACATGGAGAAGTTGGGCCTTAGCCCAATTGGTTTGCTTTGAGGATTGATCTTTGATTTTAGCACAATTGGAGAGATGAACCTTGACCTTGGGCTTTTAATTGGATCATTTAATGCCTAAGCCCAATTGGACTAAATTGGACCCAAACAACTTGCCCCCCAGACCCGATTTGGAAGGATGACGGGTCGGGTTTGATTTAATTCAGAAAAGGAGGGAAGTGAATGATTTAATTAATCCAAAAATTTGAATTTAAACCGTAATTAATGAGATAACAACGGTTAAGGCGGATGATTGTGGAAGTTGGACGGATAATGGGCAGTTTAATCGCAAGGTCGTGTGTTTAACGGTTACTTAGTGGGGTATTTAAGAGAAATTGAAACGCGGACTCCCCGTATTCCCATTTCTGGAGATATAATCAGAGGCGCCTCCCCGTATTCCCATTTCTGGAGATATAATCAGAGGCGCGTCATCTCTCCTCACTTATTCACCAACACAAACCCAGAATTCTCGAGAGAACCCAAGAACCCGCATCAAAACTTCGCAAATTCCCCGAGCATTAAGCTTAGAAACTGAGACTTGCCACTACGAACTCGTAAATCGGCAACTTTCGCTTCAGATTAAGGTAAATTCCTTTGATTTTAGTTTATTTTTCTTCAAATTCGAACTCCTTCCCTCTTTTTTTTCGACTTTTTTCTTCGAAATTATCAATGGCAAGAGGAGTTAGGGGTAGAGCCCGTGCTCCAAGAAGAGCAAGGCCAATTCCCGATCCTAGGAACAAGATTAGGACCTGGAATGGACAAAGAGCAGAGTCTGACCCTGCTGAAGGGATTAGGGCGACTCCAATTTCCTCGGCTCCTCCTCAGAGAACGGAGGGGTCGAGCGCTTCTGGGCGGGACGATGAAGTTCCCGCTGTCCTTTGGGATATCCTCCCCGGGTTTTAAGAGTGGGAGGATGCCGAAGTAGCTTCGGCCATGATAAAGAACCGCCCCTACTCATGGTGGGTGGAGAATGCCAAACAGTATCGGTTTGCCGAACAAATTGAGTTGCATTACGGCATCCTTGAAGCTGATGGGTATTGGTGCCGAATGCCCGTGGCATCCGATAGAATCCATCGTCCACCCCCGGGGTATGTGGGGGTGTACACAAGACAACTTCAGTATGGGCTGAGGTTCCCTTTGGACGTATTCGTCCGAGACTTGCTGATCCATTACAATATTTCCCTATGTCAGCTAACTCCTACTAGCATCCGAAGGGTGATGGCATACTTATGGGTCTGCAAGTTCTTCAAGTATGTGCCGAACCTGCACTGCTTCAAAAAGCTTCATCGGCTAGTGCCAAATATTCAAAGTGGGCACGGAAGTCATGGTTCCGGGTGGTACCGGATTGAGTCTCAGCCCCAGTACCTAACCATGTGGCCGAACGACTCTTCAGACAAGGACTGGAGAGGTCAATGGATTTGGGTTAGGGCACCCACGGACACGGGCCACCCTTGCGTCTTCAGCGCTCCCCGGTACCTTGCTGAGCCTGATCCCGACATGGGAAGTCTAGGTCCCCCCGCAGATAACGGCCCAGATCCGAACCTTAATCAACAGAACATCTTCGGCAAACTGCCGAACCGGGGGGGCAGCGGCCGAATGCAGCATATCCCGGAGACTTGGCTCCCCGATACGCATTATGTTTTCCAAGAGAACATGCTAGCAGCTGTCGGCCTCAGCCGAAAGTTTAAGGATGGTAAGCTTCTTCGGCTGGGGCCGAGGCTTTTTAATTATCTCTTTTTCTCCTCTCACTTCGCTTTTTTCTGTTGTGCCAACCTAACTGAACTGACCTTTCCCCTTTTCTTTTTCAGAGCGGGACGAGACCAACGTCGGCATTAACTACGCTCGTCTTGGCGTCAACCGAGAACGAGTTGTAACTGATCGGGCCCCCTCTATCACTGAACCGAGGCATAGGGAAGTTCATCTAGACTCTTCCCACTTCCAAATTGAGGCTGTTGCTCTGTATCAGAGGCAGAAGCCTTGGTGGAAGAAGAGAGATCCCTGGTTTCAGTTGCTGGACGAAGAAGCTGAAGCTGCCCGTACGGCCGAAGAGGTTGCACGGGTTATTGAAGCTTGTGAAGGAGGAGAAGGGTCCTCTAGGGCTGCTGAAGAGGAAGCTGCAGCTAGGGCAGCTGAAGAAGACGAGGCTTTGCTGAAGACCTCGGTGAGCTTTCAGACTTAACTTTGTCTGTTTCTGTTTTTTTTTTTTTTTTGTACTCACATTCTTCCTCCCCCCTGTCTTTTACAGTCTGAAGAGAGTAACAGACACAGAGAAGGGAAAGCCCATGTTCGTCCCGAAGACCAGATACAAGAAGAGTCTTCAGACTCAGACATGGACGAGCAGCCGCTTCAGAAAAGGCGCCGAAGAATGGCCATCATCGGCCCGCATGACTTTCAGCGGAGGCCGATGACCATCGGCGTTGAAATAAGGGAACCCGAGGAAGGCAATGGATCGCCGAGGGTTCCCCGGCCACCACCTCAATCACCTCAAAAGACCCCTCCGCCACCTCCTGAGATGGAGGTGGATCAGAAAACTCCCGAATCTAAGGGAGGGGTCCAAGAAGAAGTTCAGGAGAGTGCTGCTGAGCACAAGAATAAGGATGCCGTGATGCCCAGTGCTGAGGGTTTCACGGCAGACATTGCAAGAGAGGTTGAGGCTTTCGTCCTCACCCCTGAAGAAGAAGAGGTCATAATAATTGACTCTTCTGAGAAGGAGGATGCTGAGCCATCCAAAGTTAAAGAGGCTCCGTCATCATCCTTTCCTTCCTTCCAGACTCTGCAATCTGGAGAAATGGGTTTCTCGGCCCCCCGAATTCCAATCCCAAATCACATCTGGGACCTCATATGGGGTCAGAACCGAGAAGGTGCTGCAGCCTACTTCGGCGATTTTGCTGGCACGTCCGAAGTAGATAGGGCAAGAATTTGGTCGCTGAAGGCCACTGCTGGGATGGGCGAATCCAGCAGATCAGTTCCTGACCCAGCCAGGTCTAACCAACTGCTGATGATGCAGGTGATTTTCCTTGCCTTTATTTCCTCTAAAATTCAGCTTTATTTTTATTATTTTTTTTTTATTTTAACTTGTGCTCCTGTTTTCAGTTCGTGCACAATCAGTCTCTCACTGTAGAGCTGATAGATACCCTACAAGATAGGGTAGACGCTGCCGAGCACGACAAGAAGGTAGCCGAAGAGGAGTTAAAGCTTGCTAAGCTGAAGCAAGCAGCAGCGGAAGAGAAGCAACAGAAGGGTGAGGAATACGAGAAAAAAGTTGCTGAAGCCTTCAAAACCTTCTGCGACGCTATGGAGAAGGAAGTTTTTCCCCCACTGATGGAAGGGTAAAAATTCCTCCAAGAGCACATGGGAGTGGACATCTCCAAATTCAAGGCTACCATTGAGAGCCGAATCCAGGAAGGAGCTGCTGCACAAGCTGAAGTGCAGCAACGGCTAGAAGCTCTTGAAGCCAGCAGAATGGCTGCTGAAGAGATGCTCCAAGCCAGGGATGTCCAACTCTCAGAAGCTGCTGCTGCTGCTGAAGCTCAGAGAGCTAAGCTCCAAGAAGCTGAGGATCAGCTGACGGCCAAAAAGGAAGAAGTGGCCCAGGCTCAGACAGAGGCTTCCCAAGTTCAGCAGGAGCTGAATGAGCTGAAAGGTTCCTCCTCCAAGCTCGCCGATGAGCTGAAGAAATCCAAGGAGGACTTGGAGGAGACCCAGAAGAAGTTGGCTGATGCTGAGGCTCTACTCAAAGTCCGCGTCTATACCCAGGAAGAATATGAAATGGGTTTCAGAAACGGGTTCAGAGTGTGCCGAAGAGTCTGCCTTCATGCTGAGCCGAAGCTGGACTTCTTAAGGCTGAGGAAGCCGAAGAAGAAGCTGAGAGAATGGAGTTGGAGGCTAAACAGAAGGAAAGGGAGGCTCGGCAGAGTGCAAAGCCTGCTTCTTCTGCTGCTGGGGCTGAGACCACCATGGGGCTCAACAATGCTGACCAGTCTGATCCTCGGGCTGAAGCATAGGAACTCGGGCAGTCGTCTTCAGAATCTTGCGGTTCATCATGCGCTCAACTTTAGACTTGCCGCTTTCTGAATTTTTTTTCCTTGTTTGTTTTTTGCTTCAGCTTGCCTTGTCGCACAAAACAGTTTATTTTTTTTGCTTCTGTACGTATTTCGGCAGCTGTTATTTTCCGCTTGTGGGCGGCTGCCGATATAGTTTATTTGAACTTGTAGCTCAATTTCTGAGCATAAATTATTAATTTGATGTTCTTTTCTTCAGCTGCTTTGTTTTTGAATGCTTTACTGTTTCTTCAATTCTGCTGAACATAAACTTGCATTGGTAGTGCTTCTTGCCCCCCCAGAAATTGAAGTATGGCTCCAGCTGAATAAACAATTTCTTTATTTTTCTAAAAATGGGTATTCGAAACACAGGGCCAACTGAAGGCAATGTTTCGGATAATGGCTTTCTGGGATACAAGGCTCAATTAAGGCAATATCCCAGAATTGTCCATGGACTCACGCCTTTGGAGAACAAATCTTACTGAAGCTTGACTTCGGCTGAAAGACTAGAGTTCTTTAAAAAATGGATATCCGAAACACAGGGCCAACTGAAGGCAATGTTTCGGATAATGACTTACTGGGATACAAGGCTCAGTTAAGGCAATATCCCAGAATTGTCCATGGACTCATGTCTTTGGAGAACAAGTCTTACTGAAGTTTGACTTCAGCTGAAAGACTAGAGTTCTTTAAAAAATGGATATCCGAAACACAGGGCCAACTGA